TATGAATGTATATATATATATTGTTCTTTAAGGAGTGCATGCCACTGTGAAAGGGATTCTAGCCTCCAACAATCTGGATTTAAGCCATCAAAAAAATAATGGTTTTACCAACACATATTACATTTATTTCGTTGATTAAGAGCGAGAGTTTGTGAGAAGCATCCAACTTGACTTAGCGGAACCGGGTGTTTCCCATCCAAACATGGGGATATGAGGGTTTGTTGTCAATGTGACCTTCAACCATGATGTAGAAATAACAGTGGGTTGAAAGAACGTAAAAATGAGGGTTCTTTGAACAACTTGACAATAGTGATTAGCCAGTTATTTAAGAGACACGCCAGAGTCAGATAGCATCTTGATTCTTGTTCGTTCCAAGAATAGCAACTTGCTCACAACCAAGCTCATTGTCGAAACCGTAATGAGTGGGGTAACCGAGATATGTGACTTCCCAGGGCCCAGAGCTAAGCTAGGACTCCCAGGCTGTGCACGCGACCATGTAGGCCCCGGGGCCGGGGGTTGCCATCTCGGCCCCTCCGTTGTTGGGACCTTCAGCTGCGAAGCTAGACAAATGATGGAGATGTCCAGCTTCAGTATATCAGGTGGATATTTTCTGGAGCTTTGCAGCTTCACCTTGGGATATCTCGGACCGGTTCCACCCTTTTTCGGTCCAAGTTTGGCACGGTTGGACGTGCCAAATCTCCAGCTCGGAGTCTTGGTGGCTGTCACGTCTCCCTGCGCGGGCGAGACGAATTGTGTCATACTTATGCATTATCCGCCGACCCCGGCCTTGGCCAAGGCAGGGGCGGCGCCTGGGACCACCGCAGGTGTGGAACTTCTCCTTCTTCGCTTTCCAAGGTCAAACCCATCTCGCAGCCAGCAAGCTGCCCCAAGGCTCGTAAACTTTTTCCTGGCATGCTTCGTTCTCCAGTTAAGAGTTCCAGGCATTTGGACATGAAAATTACATGCTTTGGGCAAGTAAGTTTTCCTCCGGAAGGTTTTGTCTGAAGGTTTTGTCTTTCAAGGCTCCTTCTTCGCTTTCCAAGGTCAAACCCATCTCGCAGCCAGCCAGCCGGCGCAAGGCCACATCGCGTAAACATTTTCCTGGCATGCTTCGTCCTCCAGTTAAGACTTCCAGGCATTTGGACATGAAAATTACATGCTTTGGGCAAGTAAGTTTTACTCCGGAAGGTTTTGTCTGAAGGTTTTGTCTTTCAAGCCCAAAGCAGCCGTTCCCGCATTCCTGTAGTAGCAGTTCAAATCATTGACCACGCTTAAAACGCTTAAAACCCTTAAAAACCCTTACAACGCTGACTTGGCTTGCTTCATCCTGCAGCCAACAGCCACCCCGAGGCCACACATCAATGGCTTCTTATGGGCCGCTTAAACATTCCCTTGGCATGCTTCATCCTGCAGCCAACAGGCACCCCAAGGCCACACATCAATGGCTTCTTATGGGCCGCTTAAACAATCCCTTGGCATGCTCCATCCTGCAGCCAACAGGCACCCCAAGGCCACACATCAATGGCTTCTTATGGGCGTCCAAGCCTGCCGTTTGCCAGCCCTTAAACCCTTAAAACCCTCCAAACTCTCCAAACCCTTAAAACCCTTACTTGGCATGCTTCATCCTGCAGCCAACAGCCACCCCAAGGCCACACATCAATGGCTTCTTATTGGCCGCTTAAACAATCCCTTGGCATGCTTCATCCTGCAGCCAACAGGCACCCCAAGGCCACACATCAATGGCTTCTTATGGGCGTCCAAGCCTGCCGTTTGCCAGCCTTTAAACCCTTAAAACCCTCCAAACCCTCCAAACCCTCCAAACCCTCCAAACGCTCCAAACCCTCCAAACGCTCCAAACCCTCCAAACCCTTAAAAACCTTAAAACGGTGACTTGGCATGCTTCATCCTGCAGCCAACAGCCACCCCGAGGCCACACATCAATGGCTTCTTCTGGGCCGCTTAAACAATCCCTTGGCATGCTTCATCCTGCAGCGAACAGGCACCCCAAGGCCACACATCAATGGCTTCTTATGGGCGTCCAAGCCTGCCGTTTGCCAGCCCTTAAACCCTTAAAACCCTCCAAACCCTTAAAAACCTTAAAACCCTTAAAACGCTGACTTGGCATGCTTCATCCTGCAGCCAACAGCCACCCCAAGGCCACACATCAATGGCTTCTTATGGGCCGCTTAAACAACCCCTTGGCATGCTTCATCCTGCAGCCAACAGGCACCCCAAGGCCACACATCAATGCCTTCTTATGGGCGTCCAAGCCTGCCGTTTGCCAGCCCTTAGACCCTTAAAACCCTCCAAACCCTCCAAACGCTTCAAACCCTTCAAAACCTTAAAACCCTTAAAACGCTGACTTGGCATGCTTCATCCTGCAGCCAACAGCCACCCCGAGGCCACACATCAATGGCTTCTTATGGGCCGCTTAAACAATCCCTTGGCATGCTTCATCCTGCAGCTAACAGGCACCCCAAGGCCACACATCAATGCCTTCTTATGGGCGTCCAAGCCTGCCGCTTGCCAGCCCTTAAACCCTTAAAACCCTCCAAACGCTTAAAACCCTTAAAACCCTTAAAACGCTTACTTGGCATGCTTCATCCTGCAGCTAACAGCCACCCCAAGGCCACACATCAATGGCTTCGTATGGGCCGCTTAAACAATGGCTTCTTATGGGCGTCCAAGCCTGCCGTTTGCCAGCCCTTAGACCCTTAAAACCCTCCAAACCCTCCAAACGCTTCAAAGCCTTAAAAACCTTAAAACCCTTAAAACGCTGACTTGGCATGAACAGGCACCCCAAGGCCACACATCAATGGCTTCTTATGGGCCGCTTAAACAATCCCTTGGCATGCTTCATCCTGCAGCCAACAGGCACCCCAAGGCCACACATCGATCCCGTTTATGGGCGTCCAAGCCTGCCGTTTGCCAGCCCTTAGACCCTTATAACCCTCCAAACCCTCCAAACGCTTCAAACCCTTAAAACCCTTAAAACCCTTAAAACCCTTAAAACGCTGACTTGGCATGCTTCATCCTGCAGCCAACAGCCACCCCGAGGCCACACATCAATGGCTTCTTATGGGCCGCTTAAACAATCCCTTGGCATGCTTCCTCCTGCAGCCAACCGGCACCCCAAGGCCACACATCAATGGCTTCTTATGGGCGTCCAAGCCTGCCGTTTGCCAGCCCTTAAACCCTTAAAACCCTCCAAACGCTTAAAACCCTTAAAACCCTTAAAACCCTTAAAACGCTTACTTGGCATGCTTCATCCTGCAGCCAACAGCCACCCCAAGGCCACACATCAATTCTCTTAGGCGTCCAAGGTTGCTGTTTGCCAGCATTTACACAATTCAAACGATACCCCAAAGCCAGATCAATAGCTTCATCTCGGCGTTCCAGCTTGCCGTTTACCACCTTTCTCTTTCACAACGCCGTCCTTGACAGAAAACTGCTTCCCACAGACCCTTCGATGGTCTACTTTCCCTGTCTTCACGTCACTGGCCACATTCCCTTTGCAAGCGGGGCAAATGTAAACATACGCTTTCTCCTTCACAACGCCGTCCCTCACAGAAAACTGGTTCCCACAGACCGTTCGATGGTCTATTTGCCCTGTCTTGACATCACTGGCCACATTCCCTTTGCAAGCGGGGCAAATGTAAACATAAGCTTTTTCCTGCACAACGCCGTCCTTTACAGAAAACTGGTTCCCACAGACCGTTCGATGGTCTATTTTCCCTGTCTTGACGTCACTGGCCACATTCCCTTTGCAAGCGGGGCAAATGTAAACATACGCTTTTTCCTGCACAACGCCGTCCTTGACTGAAAACTGGTTCCCACAGACCGTTCGATGGTCTATTTTCCCTGTCTTGACGTCACTGGCCACATTCCCTTTGCAAGCGGGGCAAATGTAAGCATACGCTTTTTCCTGCACAACGCCGTCCTTTACAGAAAACTGGTTCCCGCAGACCGTTCGATGGTCTATTTTCCCTGTCTTGACGTCACTGGCCACATTCCCTTTGCAAGCGGGGCAAATGTAAACATACACTTTTTCCTGCACAACGCCGTCCTTGACAGAAAACTGCTTCCCACAGACCGTTCGATGGTCTATTTGCCCTGTCTTGACATCACTGGCCACATTCCCTTTGCAAGCGGGGCAAATGTAAACATAAGCTTTTTCCTGCACAACGCCGTCCTTTACAGAAAACTGGTTCCCACAGACCGTTCGATGGTCTATTTTCCCTGTCTTGACGTCACTGGCCACATTCCCTTTGCAAGCGGGGCAAATGTAAACATACGCTTTTTCCTGCACAACGCCGTCCTTGACTGAAAACTGGTTCCCACAGACCGTTCGATGGTCTATTTTCCCTGTCTTGACGTCACTGGCCACATTCCCTTTGCAAGCGGGGCAAATGTAAGCATACGCTTTTTCCTGCACAACGCCGTCCTTTACAGAAAACTGGTTCCCGCAGACCGTTCGATGGTCTATTTTCCCTGTCTTGACGTCACTGGCCACATTCCCTTTGCAAGCGGGGCAAATGTAAACATACACTTTTTCCTGCACAACGCCGTCCTTGACAGAAAACTGCTTCCCACAGACCGTTCGATGGTCTATTTGCCCTGTCTTGAGTGGCTATACTTCTTCCTCCACCCTTGAAAAGGGGTCGGCGGCACCAGGGCGTTAGCCCATTCTATAATCGATGGTTTGATAAACCTTGGTTTTTTGGGGGTCACCTATTTTCGGGGGGTGGGTTGAATCTCCATGATATTCTTTGTCATCTCTTGGTGAATGATGTTCATAGTTTTTGATGATGTTTGAACAATGCATCCATCATCCATGAATTGGAGAGCAACCCCTCGGCTGGGAACTATAAGTGGGTCAATCTTCAACCCCTAACCATTTGGATTTGAATCTTTAGTTCCATGTTCCGAAGGTGCAAAAAAAATGTTTCAATAAAATCCCGACACAGCCGACCTCCGCAACCCAGCTCAATCGCTCAAAGTTTCTCCCAAGAAGTGAAGGTTCTCAATGAGTACAAGATAGTACAAGTCCCACCAACTGCTCGTTAGAGCAGGTGGCAACATGGTGTTGCGTGCAAAGAAGTTGCATCAAGGTCAAAACAGATGAAACAGCTTTCGCTCAATCTGTCCCGGCCATCAGCAGGTCCAGTCCCCAACTGGACGAATTCAAGAGGGAAGATCCCTGGCAAAGTACGCGCCTAAACGCAGCTACGAAGTCGAGATCCTACCTCATGTCAAGTTCGGTGGCCAACCATGGCATTGGTATCAAGAAGACAGGCCCGGACTTAGTCCATTGGCAAGTGTTTCTCCTCTTCAACCGGGTCTGGCATGTCTGCACAATCCTCGGAAACAAGTGCCAAACAATGCAGTATTTAAGCATGCATTCGAAACCCACAATCCTGAAGCAAGAAAACAACAGGTCTCTCACGGTCTGTCATGGTCTCTCGCGGTCTCTCACGGTCCCCCACAGTCTCTCACGATCTCTCTCTACATCTGTGAACATCTTTTTGCAGCTGAGTGACGGAGGTGGTTGCAATGCCTGCAGCAGGACCGTTCGTCACCGCTGCAACCATGTCCTCAGATGAATAAAGGCTCACCCAAGTCCAGTCTGGCAGGCTGACAGACTGGCAGGTGAGCTGCATTAAACAGAAAGTTGTTCCCGTTACCAAAAAAGAACTAGTGTCTGCGTGACCACACACTTGCTATCACGGTGGAGTCTGGACACATTTTTTGATTCAACTCTTCAAAAGAACCAAACTGCAAAATCCTCGAAGTCATTTGCAACCTACGAAAATTGGCTGATCATGTTTGATCATCTTTGAACGCATGCAAGCCGCAGAGATGTCGGCCGCGCACAAGGCCTTCTGACTTCCCTTGTCCCAGCAGTCAGACACAGCCAGCGACCTGGGTTTGATCCATCTGTATCCATCTGTCACAAGATTCCAACAACGCTGTTGGCGTTCTCAAGGAGGCGAGGAGATCGCGGAGATTGATGGAACTTGTCTATTGTCAGGTCTTCAGAATGCAAACTATACTTGACCTCCTTGAACCCCTTGTTGGCAATGCTTTAGAGTAGCCAATGCAGCTAATGTTTCTGATGCACTGATCTTATGCATAGGTACTCCTGGGAGACGACAAACAATGTTTGCCAGCGATGTGAATGACCACTGTGAGAGCCAAGTGGCGTGAACTGGGAGATCCAGGCAAACGAGGAAATGATATTCATGATGTTGATGGCACAGGCCCTGAGCTCCAGAACATCAACATTGCCACAGTTTGCCACGTCTGTCACATCTTATGCCATAGTCATCATCGCAATGCTTTGACCGCCCCAAAACGCGAAAGTGGTACCCTAGTGCTGGCATCGCATACCTGCTGCAGGCACTGCTTTATCAGCCATGTAATTTCAGATAGTTGGCAGGTTCTTGTCAAGTTCATAGTTAATAGTGCGATGCGGTGCCATGTGTAAATATGCGTGCGACCAGGTAATTTTCATCAACGCCTACTCCTTCAAGATCTAGGCATCCATGTCGCGCATCATGACAAGGAATCACGAATTATCAAGGTTCACTGGGGTTGACGCTGTGCTTTGTGGTGTTCTTTCTCGTCTTTAAAATGCAGCTGGCCTGATACATGGCCCAGCACTGCGCAAGGCTTTTCAAAGATATCTAACCTTCGAATAAATAGCTAGGAATTCTTTGCATAAGCAGATTTACATATAGTCAGGAACGGTTCCTGACTAAAAATAAGGCAGTTTAAACATAGTCAGGAACAGTTCGGGACGCTTCCTGACTAAACATAAAACGACCTTTTATATAGTCAGGAACGGTTCCGAACGGTTCCGAACGGTTCCTGACATTATATATATATATATATACATAAGTTTTTTATATAGTCAGGAGCGGATCCTGACTATATATACCTGGGACTATTTGGGACTATCTGGGGAATAATTGCGGTTCCTAGCTATACATACCATGGCCTATATATAGTCAGGAGGGGTTCGGAGCGTTTCCTGGCTATAAAAATGATTGCTCATATTTAGTCAGGAACGGTTCTGAAGTATATATTACCTAGCGGCTCACACACATAGATAGTCAGGAGCGAATCCTGACTATATTTAAAGGCGGTGATTTTGGATATTTCTTTACATGCGTGCATCATCGTCATCACAGCAATCTCTGTCTCAGTGAAACAGAGCTGGCATGGCTGCCCACACATCTCCTTTACAGTTGCGGCGCCACATCCAGCTGTAAATCCAATCCCACAACGCAGGATTCACCTTTTTGCTGGTTGCATCCTTTGCTGTGATCTCGGATGGAACATACTTTTTCAAATCCTGCCATGCCCTGTCCAAGGTTTGAGTGCCAGCGGTCACTGCTTTTGATTCAAACCATGTACTTGACGGCAAAATTCTAAAAGGGAATGTTGACACTGGCATAGGGCAAGGCAGCGCCCAAGGGTTAGTACAATCATGACACCTGGTAAGTACACCCCACCCTAACCCATGCCCCACGTAGCAGCAACGTAGCATCCACGTGGTGTGCAAGTGCAAATGAACGTTAACATCCCACCCCACCCCAACCCATGCCCCACGTAGCAGCAACGTAGCATCCACGTGGTGTGCAAGATGAACGTTAACATCCCACCCCACCCCAACCCATGCCCCACGTAGCAGCAACGTAGCATCCACGTGATGTGCAAGTGCAAATGAACGTTAACATCCCACCCCACCCCCCATCCCACCCCTGGCCGTATATGCTGAAAAGTAGTAAACTCCTCTGATATGCTAAAAAGTAGTAAATTCCTCAGCGCCGCTAACGGCGGCGTGAGCATAAACATGGGGGAACTATATGCATATATATATATATATGGCGGAACTACATAAAAATAGGGACATCGCCAGAGGCAAAATGCAGGGTCTGTCTTTCCCATGAAAGAAACAAAGAAACATGCTTATTGCGTGCCACCTTTTTGGAGATTTTCAAGGGTGCTGCTCTTAGCGCCTGGCCTCCCAACAACTTGAAGGAAAATGCAAAATCTTGGGGGCGGCATCCTTCATAGATCACCACAATCCTCTGATCTTACAATGCGATATCACAAGCCCATCCACTGGCCCAACCATGTCCAACCCAGCTTGGGCTAAGTTAATCACCTTCTGTGTGCACCTCGATGCTCTAAACCGTTGGGAGATGCTTACACGATCAACCAAGACATTGATCGGAACGTATTCCTCGAGCATTCTGGGCTCAAACCCTTCGACAATCCCCGAAGATCAAATGGTGGCATAGAATGCCCCCATGCAAGTGCCCTTGAGTGCCCTCCGCAAAACCCAAAGCGCTATCAGTACGCAAATGATCTCACACGGCAATGTTTGGCTCGCGTTCAGCCGCGCAATGCGATCGCTCTTTGGGGGACTCGGTATATATGATTTGAGCATGACGGGGCTGCTATGACTCAGCGGAAAAATTGCACAAATCAAAGCAAGTGCTTGCATGCCACAGCCACATTCGCTTTTGAACAGTTTCTGCATTTGACTGTTTCCCTAAGACTGGGATAGGGTAGGGCGCACCCTGCGCCGCCATAAAGCCTACATTCTTCCAAGGAAGAAAAGCAACAATACCCAAAGTCTTGGGTTCAACTTTTTGGTACCCTTTTTCTTGCGGTTAGTGGTACGTTACTCTTTGCTTCATGCCAGAATGGGGCGACCCAACATCATCCTGCAGGTCTTTCCATGGGGCTTGTGGTCTGGCGCTGTGCATGACTTGCAACATGGTCTAAGGGAACGGTCATAAGAGTTCTTCCAACATGTGGGGTTTTGGGTATGGTTTTTGGTTGGCATGTTCTTTATATTGTGAGAGGAGGCCCTGCAGGAATGCTTCTGGCTGGGGACACGCAGGGGGCTTCATCTGAGCAATGCAGTGATGGACGACTCGTGTTGCAATGCTGCACTACTAGTGATTAGCTTGTTGGGAACTGGGCTTCTGCAGCAAGTTACGATTGTAACTGGGGACGTGCGCCCTGCAATGAAAAATGGAAAGCCTGATAAGTATTGATGGGAGCAACCCGAATGCAAACCAACTATCAACTCAACTGATCCTTGGCCCATAGAGGGGGCTAGCCCTTCAAATTTATATGTAGCTCCTAGAAGGTTTACATATAGTTCCTATGGGTTTCACAGAAAAGCCATTTAAAGAGGGGAACGCACCCTCTAAGTCACATCTGTCACATCTGTCACTCTTAGGAACTCGGAAGTTGCAAGTGCCTGAAGCCTGGAGCCTGCAGTGTGTGTCCATGTCATGCCGTGACTTCATGCCGTGACTTCATGCCGTGACTTCATGCCGTGACTTCACGATCATGACGGCTTTGTGTTGCCATGCCACAGCATCCGTGGATGTCTGCCTCTCCGAGCCAAGTGGCTTTGGCTCTGGGCAGGCCGATGCGGCCGAGCGGATCTGGAGAATGGCTCGCACGATGTAAGCGGCCTTAGGACGTGCTTTGAACGTCCCCTGAAATTCATTGAATTTCCAGGATCTTCTGTGGAGGAAGCTCTTCAACCCGACCCTTTGTGCCCAGAACCAGACTCCATGCAGTGTCTTTCAGACAAGAAAATGCTTTGACTCGTCCATGACGTAGAGCAGCATTCATGATTCCAAAATGTTGCTCAAATCTACATTTCCCATAGACTGAACGACTTGCAGAAACCCTCAAAAATTGAGGTTCACCTGCATATTGTCTCTCTAAAGCCCTCGGTCGTGATGAAACCCCTGGATTGAATTCAATCCAAGTCATGCCAACTCTAATCCACCGGTCAACTGAAACAGAAGGGCCAGCCAACCGAGCCAAGCTGCCGCGTTGGTCACATCTGCGACGACGCACTGGGTGAGGTCAAAGGCACGGTTTCGGTCAGCCTCAGTCGCCAGATCGTGTCACCGTGATGAATCTTTGGCTCGGTTTCGCCTAGAAAATTGCTGTGTCCAACGTGGGTTGGGTAGCCCCCACAAAGTCACAAAGTCGTTCAAGATCCGCAAGCTAAGCCCAGCACAGTTCGGAGGGCATCGACCTTCTGGACAGTCTCAACTGTGGGCAAAGCACCAGCCGGGACGAACGTCTTCCATCCTGGTCCTCATCCAAGAGAGAATGTCGCCCCCCATGCCTTCCTATCTGCCATACATTGACACAACATTTCTGAGGCAAGCTAGGCTACAAGTAGGGCACAAGATTAGACAAAGTGACATAACGGGACCATCCGAGAACTACCATGCGTGAGGTGCAACTGTGCAACTTTGATTTCCTTACGTTCATGTAGAATGCTTCCACACTCACACATGCTCACATCATCTCACATCTAGCGCCAGCTGTCCTGCATCATCAGTGCCAGTGATCTTGAGGAGAGCAAGCCAGTCTTTGTTGAAGTCGCAGTCCTCCTTCACAGCCGCTCCTACAGTGGCCATTTCACCGAAGTTGGCCATCAAAGCAGTCCAGTCGCCAGCACAAAGGGCACCAGAGTTCACCGCTGCACCGCATGCGTTTGCTGCGAAGGACAGGTAGGAGGCAATCCAAGTCACTGAGGTGATGAACCCAGCAATACTCGCAGCACAACCGGCCGGGGAATTGTCTGGGCATCGAATTCCATCATATTTGATCGCCTTGTAAAGGAAGACCACAGCCTGGCCCAAGTAAGCAGCTCCCTGAACCACATCAATGACACACTCGGTGCGGATCCAAGGAAGCTCTTCCGGTTGAGATTCGTAGAAGAGGTCGTTAAGATTTCGCAACGGCTGCTTCAACTCCAAAGTCTTGGCATGCTCCACCACCTGGTCGATTCCAGGGATCTGCTCCCATTCCTGGACAGTGTTGATGTCGAAGTTCTTGGACTGCAGCAAGGTCTCAGGTGAGCGGTACACAACCTTGGCGGCCACTCCAAGCACCACAAGCAGGGCAAGGCCGGCACCAGCAAGGTACCAGTGCCTTGGTTTGGTGCTGGGACTTTCTGGAATTTCCTCCAACAGCATCTCCTGGGCTTCTTCAGTTGCAAGCTGCATGTGCTCCGCCATGATTCCCAGAGTGCAGAAGTGCAGAGTCCTCACAGAACTGAAGCCAAAATGTGCTGCGCAGTATTCCTATGATTCTCGATCCAGATATCAGATTTCTCCAAACATTGATCCAGAATGATCCACATATCGTGGATGATATGTGCCGTCAAAATCCATGGGATCCATATGATCATCCATAGGGTTTTCCGTGGGATTCCATTTTTTTGGTCAACGCTCCAGGGGTTATCTTCGCTACCCCGGGAAAAGTTTCACTGGTGAATATCCCACTGTTGATGATTGGTGATCGGCTGTTCTCGGCATTTGGTTCATCATTTCCGGCGTCCTCATTGTTCTGTTGTTTCAATCCCAAAATCTGGCGTGGTTGCAAAACTGACACTGAACCCTAGGAATTTCCATGTTTGTAATCGGAAAATCCTCTTCCAGGCCCATTTTTTGGGTCCCAGAAATCAGCCTGGGAGTAGTCCCCAGGCCCAGGAAGGACACGAGTCTTGCCCATGTCCTTGGGGCGGAACTTAGGGGATGCGATGAATGGATTATGGTCATTCCATAGCAGGATAGGTCTATGTATATACATATACATAAATACATAAATACATAAATACACAAATACATAAATACATAAATACATATATATATATATATATTATACATACACATATATATGTATACATATATACATATATACATATATACATATATACATATATACATATATACATATATACATATATACATATATACATATATATATATACATATACATATATACATATATACATATATACATATATACAGACATATATACATTTAAACATATATATACATATATACATATATACATATATACATATATACATATATACATATATACATATATACATAAATACATATATACATATATACATATATACATATACACATATATACATATATACATATACACATATATACATGAATACATATATACATATATACATATATACATATATACATATATACATATATACATATATACATATATACATATATATATATAAATATATACATATATACATATATACATATATACATATATACATATATACATATATACATATATACATATATACATATATACATATATATATATACATATACATATATACATATTTACATGTATATATATATATGGTACAGGTCTGCAACCCCCCCCTCACCCCCCGCGATGGGGATGGTTCCTAGGATTGGGTGTACTACCTCCCTGGAATCCAACTATCATGCAAGGTACCTCTGCTTCCCCGCCCCCCCCCCCTGTGGGGATACCATTGGGGGGGGTTGCCGGCCGCCGGCCGGGACCAATACATATACATATACATATATACATATATATATATACATATATATATACATATATATATATATATACATATATATACATATATACATATATACATATATACATATATATACATATATACATATATACATATACATATATACATATATATATATATGTATATACGTATATATGTATAGACATATATATGCATATATATATGTATGAGTCACAATATATATATATATATAATTATATATATATATCCCTATGTAAATAGATGGATGACCATCTCTTAATATGGCAATCTACCCAAGTTTTGACCATGGCATTGAAGGATAAGATAACCACGTATAGTGTGTCTGGCAGAGATAAGCTTGGTAGAGTAAAGTTTGATGGGTATAACTTTGGTGGAGATAGGTTTGATAGGGACAAATTGGATCGAGATAAGTCTCATGCAAATAAGTCTCATACATAGAGGTAAATTTTAATGATATCAGTTTCTTCATGGAATTATTGTTGACAGCACACACGCTAATGCAAGGCCACAAGAACCCCACATTCTGCATAGGCCTAGGGCCTAAGGGTCATTGAGTCGGTGCCCCACCAAGTTGGCTCCGGTTGGGTTTATGGGGGATCCAAGATTTGGCCCCACCGGGGCTGCCCGCGAATTTCTGACCAGCGGTATACTTGGCACTCTTCCCAAAGGTCTCCTCGCCAAAGGAAACCCAGAAACCCAGGAAAGAACGGTGAAATTTCGCGGATTTTCACAGCGCATTGCGATGCATAGCTGTTGCTAGCTTCCCCCCCATCGCAGGGGTACCTTTTCCTGCGATCTGTTCTTGGGATAGGAGATACAGTACCTCGTAGGGTCCCCACTTCAACAAGTCAAGTCTTTTTATTTCATGAGATCAGGTAATATGGTGAATGTCCACTACCGAAGTTTGAGGGACATCCAAATGGGTTGTGAGTTACAAGTTGAACAGAATGCACTGCATGAGCATCGTCATCTGAAGTTAAAACGCCAGTGACACAGACTGCTGATAGTTTCAGATATCTCCAAGACCCCACCCGAACATTTTCAGATTTCAATCAAGACTCATCAGGTAGTACTGGATGTTCCCATTCCACATTCATACATATATATATATACACAACCTATATGTATATATTATACACAATATATATATATATATATTGTGTGTATAATATATACATATAGGTTGTGTATATATATATGTATATATATATGTATATATATATATATGTATATATATATGTATATATATATGTATATATATATGTATATATATATGTATATATATATATGTATATATATATATGTGGGGGAATTCATAGGTTTCACCCAACCCTGAATCCTCATGGTTCTTGTTACAAATTCTTAAGACAATTTCCCCCTGTTCGATGGTTCAATCACATGAAATCGCACTTGTTTGATGGTCAAGCAATATGTGCCATGGTCCAAGCTCAGGGACGATGGTCATCCCATAATTGGTAGGACCCATAATTGGATATATAGTTGGTAGGAATCATTCTTTGAGAGTAGGTAAATCCCCGTTGGGTTGAGACCATGGCGTGGCACATATGATGTCCAAAAATGTGTCCGGCTAATATCACCAATATTTCCATGACATGTTCATGTTTTCACATGTCCACAGAATCTCCAATCAATGGATTGGTTTAAGGGAAAATCTACAGGAAACCATGGTTTTTACCATCAAATATAGGGCTTTCCTGTAAATCTTCCCATCATCCAGTTCTATGATCCAACACTTTTCCGCAGATCTTCCGGCACCTCCAAGTCGTACTTCCCGGGCCCTGGCTCTCCAGCGCCGGCTGCCAGAGCCCCGGCCGCGCCGCGGCCGTGGCACTCGCGGCGCGGCGTCATGGTCCACTTCGAGGCTGAGAGACCGGCCTCCTGAGACAGCCAAAAAAGGGCCCCATGGGCCCCATAGGTAGCGAAGTTGATATCCAAACCGATAGATTTTCAAATCTTGGATGAAAAAAGATTGGTGTCTAAACTTAGATAACATTGAAATGCCATGGTCTTGGCCATTCCACAAACATTCCAAAATTCTAGTATCAAACCATCATATAACCTTCCATAACATTCCAAGATTCTAGTTAGGAAACACTGATGCTAATATTACTTGATATATGTTCAGTATGATTCGTTTGAAGGAATGTTCTGGAGTTCTCGAATTGCCAAGAATGGAGGAATAGAATACTACTAGGAATCTGTTTATATATATACACGTATATGTACATATATATATGTATATATATATAGGTATATATATATATGTGTATATATATATGTATAATATGTGTATATATATATGTATGTAGGTGTGTATATATATATAGCAATATATATATATATATAGCAAGTGATCATATTTATAGGAATTGACTGATCATATCTTTGTAGTATCTAGATGTATTTCGTACTTAAAAATGGGATGCATGCGGGCATTGCAAGTGGGTAAAACGACCACGTTCGATTCCTCGGATTAACATCGGAGTACTTTTTTCGGCATTTCTTGGGGGGAAGATGATCATCTTTGCAGCTATGCCCAATTTTAGGATGTACAAATACCAAAAAAAACAGGGAAAGAAATGGTATAAACTCAATGTCTGCAGCAATTTGAGGGTATCTAAGCATCTAAGTACAGATTTCAAGTATCAACAATACGCAAAAAAAAGGAAACTCACCAGAAGTTTAAGCATGGAGAATATTGACAATGATTTAAAAAAAAAAAACATAATAATGTAAAACAGTAGTACAATGTATTGGTCATTGACATTGATCATACAGAGTATATTGGTCATTGACATTGATCATACAGAGTAGCAAACCCATGAGTATGGAGAAGTAGTGAGGCAATCAATAAGTGGGATAGTGTAGCATTATTTAAATTCAGCATCAATAGTTCATTCATAGTATCCTTCAGATAAAAAAAAACTTGTCACGTGTCCAGAGATGACTTCTTGGGTGTTTTATACAAACCATTGGGGATGCAATTGGGATTTTTTGGGCAATAGTTGAATGGGAAGAATGTAAACCATCTGGGGATATGAATGGATCATATTTGATGGGGATTCACATGAAAAATGGTGATGTTAAACGATGATTTAAGTGGGGATGCAATTACTGGTAAATGCCCAGCAATCATGGGGATAGATGACCATGCAATCTTGCTGGCTCACGGTTTGCCCAGGGTCAAAAACTGGATGTGTTAAAGTTCGGAGAGTTGATTGAACACCTATGGGATGTGCTTCGCCGGAAAATGCCAATTTGGCAGCCGAGCCTAGTCGGTCTTGGAGAGGTATTGGAAGTATTGGAAGATTTCTGATCAAGTACATGATGAACCGTCAAATTTGGAGTTGTTTCCCGTTTTTCTTTCAGACAAAGCCGTTTTTATTTTGTGAGATGGGAATCTTTGCCAAATCACCTGATTGAGGCGAGATTTAATTGAGATTGGTCACCCCTGCGCGTTTGGGAAGCAACCATAGTAATATAACCATTATATAAATTATTATTAGTATTATTGGTACTATTAGTTATATAACCATTATATATTATAACTGTTTATGATTCTACTTGTTTGAGATCAATTGAAATCTTTCACAAAACAAGAACTGCCCAAATGTCTGTGAATAACTGGGATGTGTCACTAAACCAAAATGTGGATTTGATATTCCCAAGTGATCAGAGATGTCGGTGCGACCAAGATTGTTGTCAAAATGAATGGGAGGTCACCCAAATTTGGAACTTGTGGGGGTTCTCCAAAACAAGTGGATAGCACAAACGGGAATTCATAGGGCTGTTTGTGTTCTTGAACTATTGTCATGGTGACACTTCGACATTTGGGGCACCCAAGAACCATCAACATCATCCTTTCCGGTAATCAGACACGCCATGTTTGAATACTGGTCGGTATATCCCCAGGACTTCCAGCCCTGCGGGCCTGAGCCAACTCATACGCCCCCGGGCCAGGGATTTTCTGTTTGCCGATGGGATCCCGACCCGACAAACCGAAGGAGAAGATGGGCCCCTGGGCATGGCTTAAGACTTAAGAAAAACTGGAGGCCGAGGCCCATTTTCTTGGTCGTTTGTTGATCACTCAAAGAGTGGCTTATCTGGTAGATCCATCTGAACCCCCACTAAAAATTAAGGGGTGTGGCAGTATATCCCTATAATCCATTCAGTTTCGCAGCTACAACAACAAATGAAGAACTGAAACTCAGGGATTCGAGCACCGGACAAAGAGCTTGAAACAAAAGCTGGGATGTTGAGCAAACATAAAAAGATGTTCAGCGGTTCGGCAACGCAGCAATTTTGCGCTCCGAAACTTGGAAATTCGGACAGAAACCTGGAAGGGTACTCCAACCCAAAAATGGTCAGGGCACAGGTAACCCCATTCTATGCGCTTGGCATTCCTAGCCTTCGAGCTGAATCCGCTATTGTCATTCCAACTATGTGTATATATATATATAATCTGTATATTCTATATATATATACTCTATATGAGCAATCTATTGAAGAAAAAACTGAGCAATCGTCTCAAAGAAATGTTGAGAGCCTCATCTTGAGAACCATCAGAAAGTACCAGGAGCCGCCAAAATCCGGCCCCTCTCTGCGCCCCTCTCCCGCCTTCTGATATCTGGACCTTAGAGATGCAAGCCAGGCAAAGGCCTGAAAAAACGAGTAACGAACAAAAACCCGGAATTTTACCAACAATCATCGCTTAATATCTGGGGATTTAAGCAAAAAAAAAACGAGACAGTGTTCTTCACTTCTTCACCATCTTTGGGATAATTGCCAATAGGTATTACCAATCATTTAATTGCCATGGTATTATCATATTTATCCATAGAAATCTATGGGATTTATCTATCCATGGTATTTAAATCCCCATATTGCCATGTTTTTATCACCGAGTCACACGGCGTTCACCGCTTCGCTCCCGTCGTCCAGGTGGTACCTGCGCCGTTGGGGCGGGTGAATCCCAGCTGATCACATTAGATTCAGATGTGTTGTGTGTGTCTGCATGTTTATGTGCTACATGTACATGTATACATACATATTTATATATATATATACATATACATATACATATATATATATATATACATATATATATACAGTAGATATACACATGATGTGCATGACTATGTACCGAAACATATGAGCCAAATATAGGTATTGCATGGACGTTTAGAATTCGACGATCTTTTGCCCAACCAATGGCCGTTCGGCGTCCAACGCGTTGACGGCGCACGTGCCGGGGCCAGGCGGAAGAAAGCGACGCTCGAAGTCGCTGGATTGCTTGAAGCTCCACCTGGCAGTGGATGAAAAATATGGAAACTCCAACTTGTCATTGGAAAATTATGGTGATTTTATGGTGATTTTACTATAAAACCATAGGAAAATGGTGATTTAACCACTATAAATGGTGATTTTCCATGGTTTATGGGTGTGTCTGAAAATGTTGTGTACCCCATTTTCCCAATGGTTTTGCTGATCATTATCCCGTTTTTAAATGGCTATTTCATTGGGAATATACCCTATTTTCAGACAAACCCATATGTCCAATGGTATATCGAATATGAATATTAGTTATGTCAGTTCCAATTATGTCATATCATTGGAATATCATTGGTATATTTCCTCAAGATATGGATTTCCAAATCATTGGAAATATGCTCTAAAAATCATGGGCAAATCATTGGTAAATCAAGCTGCTAATATTAGTGGTTTTCGTCCCATGGTTTCTGGGGGTGTTTGGTACTAGGGGGATTGGACTAAATGGGCAAAATATATTGGTGTATAGGGATATGATAGGGATATGAATGTCCCATCACATGGAAATATTTGGACTTCATATGAATGGGGATATGAATGTTATGGGAATATTTGGACTATTTTAGTACTATAATTCGGAATATTATATATATATATATAATGTTCTGTTTGAACTAATTGTTTGTTGGCTAAGTGGGGATAAAATATCGGGGATAGTTAGGGAATTTAATGTGCATTATGTACATACAGTATTCCAATTTACAATAGCTCGTAAATTGGACATACATTGACTGGAGATCAGAAGAATAAACAACATTGTGTCTGCCAAACAGCCAGGAGGTCTTTGAGGATACCTGATCTGCCCAAACTTGCATCAAAATCCGTTTTCACCCACTGAAACTGGGTTGCAAAAAAAAAAACTTAGCCTCTGGTTTCATCAAACGTGGCAATGGAACGTTGCCCCCATTGATGTTCCGATGTTCCCAGCAAAAATCAGATCCAATCTGGATCATCCTTTAATGGATTGACAGGCTCGATTACAGCGAAATCAAAATAGGTAGATAGATGTAGATAGAAAAGTTGGAAACCCGGAAGTTTTGAGGAAATCATTTGTAAATGTCATGCAAACATCGTTCAACCTTTTTCAGACGCTTGAATCCCCACTTCTTTCGCCATGAGGTTTCGCGGGGATGGATCAAAACCCTATAATTTTATCATCATCGCATGTATATCATATATTATCATATATCTATCCCATCTTCAGCGGAACATCATAACATCCCAGGTATATCATCGCCACGGATGCACTGATCCGACATCGAAAAATCACCTGGGTGATCTTCGAATATGAGAGAGGCCATGCATCCGCGGGAACTCCTGTGCCACGACACCAGAAACCATCGAAAAATGACCAACCTTTTGGGGGTTCCCGCAGGTTGGGGGGAAACCACCCGATTCCATAAATCCTTTTTTTGACGCAGGTTTCTGGCATTGGGTTTACCATGGTAAACACCTCACTATCTATCGGATCTCATCTAGGTTCTCAATCAAAACTAAATCAAAATCTATCCGTGTTTTGTTTTATCTTATTATTATCTGTCTGTCTGTATACGTACAATAGGTAAATTTTGCCAGAGGTCACATGACAAAGTGAAGTCGCAAGTGGATGACATAGTCTGATCATCCCACTTAGCCGAGATGGATAGTTCTGCAATGCCACGGAACCGTGGTTTGGGGCAGCGAAAAAGGATTTCCCGTGTTGCAACTGGCCATTTTCGGGGGGTGATGTTTGTTTTCAGGTGGGATATTCAGAGATTGGTTCCATCAAAATGGTTAAAATCAAGCCAAGCAAACCAACCTTGGATAAGGTTCACCCAGTAAGGCTTTTCATAGTTCATAGCCTAGTTACAGCAACACCCCAAAAGTCCATCCAAACCGTCCAAACCCTCATATTTTGTTGGTGAATATCCTTTATATCATTGGCCAAATCCCAACTTGAGCTTCATCAATCTCTAGTTTTGTTCGTCAAATCCCCATTTTGCCCCGAGGCCATCCTCCTTACTTCGGTCGCGTGGGGGCGCGCCTATGCAGAGATGATGGTGGACCATTTTCGCAAAAGTCGTGTGGAAAATATCATCATTTCACGAGCCTGTGGGGTAATAGTAGTTATTTTTAATACGGTAGATGGACAAATTATTCAAACCCCACATCCATGAGTTGTAGGCTACCCCTTGTCCCCCAAAATTTCAACGTTATGGTTCCGTATCTTCGTTGCTGATCTTAGGGTTTGATTTATTTCGTCCATTCGAGAGCGAACCAAACCAAAAAAAAACATTGAAATTGGGGGTGCGGGGGGTTATTGGATGATCAAGATTTGAATAATTTGTCCATCTACGGTAGTAATAATAATAGTAACAATAATAACAATAATAAAAATACAGTACTGTAACCACCATCATCGTCATCAACAAATCAACAAATCATCCAACCATCAAATCATCAAATCATCAAATCATCAAATCACCAAATCATCAAATCATCCTCATCATCCTCCTCCTCGTCGTCGTCATCACCCTCATCATCATCATCATCATCATCATCCTCATCGTCATCATCATCGTCGTCATCATCGCCATCACCGTCATCATCGTCATGATCGTCATCATCGTCGTCATCATCATTATCCTCGTTGTCATCATCATCATCGTCGTCGTCGTCGTCGTCGTCGTCGTCGTCGTCATCGTCGCCGTCGTCGTCGTCATCGTCATGATCGTCATCATCATCATCGTCGTCATCATCGTCATCATCATTATCGTCATCATCATCATCATCGTCGTCGTCGTCGTCGTCGTCGGTCTCATCGTCATCATCCTCCTCGTCACCCTCAGCATCATCGTAACCATCATCATCAGCATCATCATCATCATCATCATCGTCCTCATCGAATCATCAAGTCATCAAACCATCAGATCATCAGATCATTCAAACATCATCATCATCATCATCGTCGTCGTCGTCGTCGTCATCATCGTCGTCATCATGATCGTCGTCGTCATCATCGTCATCATCATCATCATCGTCATCATCATAGAAATGATGATGATACTATAAACAATGATAGTAGTAACAGTATTTGCTACTGTAAATCAAGTAATGAAAAAGGAAATATAGTGATGTACTGTATGATGGAAAATCAAAGCAACATCATATGATCTGTCAGATATGTCTGATATGTGGGTGTATCTGAAGAAAAAATGCCTTAGGTAGTGGATTTTGGTTACCCGATTTTGAGACAAACCTGTGTCGACCATTTCATAATGTACATGTGTGTGTGTATACATATATATATATATACACGTATATATACGTATATATTACATGTGTATACATATATATATATATTTTACATGTGTATGTATATATATATATATTTATATATATATCATACTGTTACTGACCCCTCCGTTCAATATACACCTGTTGTATGCCCTGATTTTACGAATCAAAACTCTTGTTTCTGAGGATCAATTGGCTTCTAAGTGTACAATGTGTACAATTTTATACACATCTTCCATGTGTTGAGAGGACCTGCAATCTGGGTCGAATCCCAAATCTATTGTGTTTTGCTTTTTATACTCTGCATATACCCATCCTGAAATGCCCATGTTTCCTGATTTAACCCCCCCATGTTCGCTTCTTAACTTCTTTTTGTGTGTGAGTGTGTGTCGCTCACCTCCCATTTTTTTGTAGGTTCAATCCCCATTTTGGCTGCTTCAATCCTCTTTTCGGCTGCTTACCTCCCAAGTCGTGTTGTTTAAATCACTGAAATCTCGGTATCTGCAGTTGGAATTGCATTGTTTTCCTCCTTGGGTCTGAAAATCGGGTGCCCCAAAACCCCAAATTTTGATCCTTATTTCCAAAATCCCAAAATTGCCAATGGGGGTATCCCCCCCACAGCCAAACGTCGCCCCACCTACTGAGCCATCAGCTACGCCCTCCACCACTGAGGCCAAGGTGTCCAAGGTGTGCGCGGGCAGCGGCTTGCCGCTGCGCTGCAACATCCTGTGGATTGCTTTGGGGAGTTCATCAGAGTCGTTCTTTGTTAGTTCAACATCAAATACATGGGGATTCGCCAAGAAATATACGCAGGGATTTCAGCATCAAATATGTGGCTTTCACAAGCGTAATGTGGCGGACCAAGGACTGCCGCAAGAAAATGTGGGTTCTTCGCCAAGAAAGAATGGTGACTTTACAAGTAAGAAAATGAGTCAAGATTGTTGAAGCAACCCCAAGGCTTGGATTTCGGATGCTCACCACCAAAGAATTTGCATTTTCCGCAAACGCCACTGGATAGCTGCAACCACCCCGTTCTAGGAAGATTCCGAGAGATTGTGTCAGCAACATCAGTGAGGAAATCATCTCTGAACTCGGGGATTGAACTGCTGGAATGGAACAAGCATCAAGTCGGAGAGTTCACCCCATTTATAGGTAGCGTAAGTAGGGGCAATGTCCAGCTATAACTGGGGTGAAATAACCCACTGAAGTTTTCAGCACCAAGTAGGTCATTTCCTTTTGATGGAAAGTTGACTCTTGGTCAAGAGAAAGGAATGAGATGATTAGGCAAATCCGATGACATTGTTCACGATCTCTTTTGTATATACATATATATATAGTGTATATTATTAAATATACATATACATATACATATACATATATATATATTAGATGTATTTCGAAACAATATCCATTTGGTGTATATATATATTGTATGTGTACATGTACATGTACATGTACATGTAATTATGTAATTAGATTTGTATATGTACATGTACATGTATATACATATTTATATATACATGTATATGTATACGTACTATATGTATGTAGTCTATGTATATGCATATACATATTTACATACATATTATATATATATTGTATATACATATTGTATATACATCTTGTGTATACGTATTGTATATACGTTATATACATATGTTCTTGAAATATGGGATAAAACGATGACTCCCATATCAATAATTCCCGGAATGAATCTGGCTGAACTGTTGTCATAATTCACCAACCTGAAATGAAAAGTCCTTTGCGCAGTGTTCAAATCCTTCATTCCGTTCCATTGGTTGGTTGAGGATGCGATTTCCATTTCATGCAGCATGATCATCCCCAATCGGGTTGTATGATGTTGTATGCCCTCCGGTCATCATGGTTGGCTGGGAAAACATCATATTTATAGATAATTTTCCCAATAAACCCTCCATCTATAGGGGATGTTCATTTGCCATCTTTGATTACCAGGGTGTAACCTGGCAATGGAACGTGACCCATTCATCGATGAGAAACCTCTCGCGTTTTCGATTTACAACTTGGGATTTTCGCGTTGAAATTGTTATGTTGAGGTATTTCCCATTTTCAAACAGACCGATCCATATCATTTATCTAATATACATATTCCATGATCCCACGAAATATTCTCATTACGTCCCCATGATATTCCCATTTTACCCATCAGTTCTTAACGAGGCTCTCTCCCAAAGTCTTGCCACGCACCGCCACCTGCAATGGGATGAATCTGGGATCAAATCCGTTCGTTCACTTCACCAAGGGTGGAAATATGCGGAGATCATGAGCAGTGTAGCGGCACCCTGCAGCCGCACCAGCAACCAAGCTCCAAAGCGCACACAGCGACAAATGTCACACGCAAACCACCCAAAAACGTATCGTGAATCACCCAAAAACAACAAAAAAAGATGAAACGGTGGCAAAAATCAGCCACTGTAGACCCTCAACCTAATATTTTCTTTGACCCATCAACGGCTAACGAAACCGCCTGCAGTTCGGCTACACTGGTGATGCCAACTCTACAAAGGCGCGCTTCAATGGCCTCCAAGTCCTGCGCCGGAGATGGGTCGATAGCATTGTTGGTAAAGCAACAGTCAACCCCCCCCCCAAAAAAAAAACGGTGATGGTTTACTTATTGCTTTAGTCACTTTAGTAATAAAAAACCAGGTGTGGGGATGGTTTGTCAAATTGGATCACCAGTTGCATCACGTTGGATGATCCAAGTTGCGAGACATCGCAACGGCTTCAGCGGTCAAAAATTGGATTTGTCACCGTTAACATAATGGGATTTCTAGAAACGTGAACCCAGAACAACCATTGAAAATTCAGATTGAAAAGAACCCACAGGGAAAAGTGAGAGTATATTGACATATATCGACCATCAAGAATAAGCGGCAAATGATCAAATATGAAGCAGTAGTTTGTTAATCCTAGCCCCATGATGTCTCCTTCGTGGTTTTACTGTATTCATCCAAGAGGGATTGAATTTCCACAAACACCAAATAAGAATTGGAGATGGGCATGCAGCATGCAATCACCAGTTTCTTCATAAATTTGCCTTTTAAGAAGAACGATGCTGACCTGCAATGGATCTCGGAACTTAGGGAACGAGTTAAACATAGGGGATCCTGACCGGTTGATCATTTTCTGATCATGCTGAGTTCAAAATCCAGAGAGAAGCCCTGGAATAGGTGATGGCTAGTGAATCCATTTATATCATTTATACTAAGTATAAATTATAAATATGTATAAAGTATACACCAGAATCCCACGAATCGGGATAAGAATCGGGGACAAAGGTGGCTGCACCAGCTTCTCCCACCGGGCATCTCGAAGCTCCTTCTTCCGGTAGGGCGGTTGCACCAGGTGAAGCAAGTCTCTCAGGGAATTGGGAGGAGCCATGGCACCGTTTTCGGAACAAGACCGGCCAAAAGATGTGGCCAAGAAGAAAACCTTGAAGTGACAAGCCGGGTATGTGCCAGGTATGTGCCGTGTTTTTCCCATGTTCAGTTGCCATTCGTTGCTCTGACTTCTTGGATTCTTGCCATCTGCACAGGATATGAAAAACGTGTTGCTGAACCGTGGCGGTTGGAATCCGCGTCCACTGAGTCCACTGGCATTTTGAGGAGAGGATTCCAGGTGTGTTGGTTTCCGTACACCCAAATATATCGAGAGAACAACAGCACCTCTTCAACTCACCAGTTACTCAGAATAAAGGCAGCACTGGCACGTTGGGCACCAGTGACGTCCACGTACGTGGTTTTGCTTCAAAATGAAGTATATAGCCCAAAATGTTTCAAAATGGAGAAAAGATGATCTTTTTTTTCTGGTACCATTTTTAAGAAGAAAGGGACGGGACCCATCTGTGGCAGTGAAATATCAGCAGTGGTGGGTCCTTTTTTTTCCGGCCCGTAGCCTATCTTTCTAGTCGTTCATTGCAGTCGTGAGCGAATTGAGCGCAGGGTGTCGTCTTGTCGCTATCTCTGTGCGTATTAAATTGCCAAACTTTGGGGCTGTGAACAAAGAATTCGTCCAACTAGCACCCACATCCCCAAGCCTTACCGGCCAGGCCTAGATATTACTCAAGATGTGGAGTTGTGATTCCATCAAGGGCAGTGTGCGGAAGATCATGTGTTGAAATTGCAAAGTTGTAAACCAAGTTCCAGGTCAGGTTTGTTTTTGCAAATGTAAAATCGGTTAATTGTGGCTTGTGACTGGGTTTTACCACGTAACTCTTCATGGAAACCTCCTTTACATGTCAGATGTGCGATGGCGACGGCGGGGCGCAGCACAAAGCGGTCGTGGTAGCTACACACCTAACAAGCAGTGGTTCAGACTGGTGTTGATTTAGGGTGTTCCCTCGTCAAGATGATTTGGCAGAGTCTTTTTGAGCCAGAACCAACCAGAATGGGTATGCTATGGGTCAGCTCATATCAAAATAGCTGGGATTTATGGATGTCCAGCCCCTAGCAATTTGTATTTATAGGGCTATAGGTGAAAATTGGGTACCCCAATAATTGGATAGTTAATACTAAACATATACTACAAGTAGAACCCGCGCAAGGCGGGTGGCGGAAGTTTCCAAGTTTAAGAAGTGTAACGCTATAGCATCCAAAAACAAGGTTTGCCTATAGGAGCCGCGGCAGACTTCCATGCTCTTTTCCGGGACTTCTGACCTTTTGTCGCAAATTGTGAAACCACATCTCAACTCTTCCAATGACTTCTCACCTCTCGTCCTCTCTTTTCAACGATTCTCATTTCTCTGCACATCTTCTTATCTTTGGGCTAGTGAGAATGCGACTTCATGATCTCTTAACGCTGGTGCCCACTGGACACAATGATCTCTGGGCTAGTGAGAATAAAACCATCCGTAACTCGGAGTTTCCTCCATGAAACTTCCTTTGATAATCTGTGGTCCCATAGGGCTGAAATTTTGATCCATCCCCATAGGTATCCAGGCGGTATCCATGGGTACTGCTGGTTGCTTCCCTGAAGGTCACTGCTTGTGGAGATCAAGGGACAAATAGGGCACTGAATCACACCGCAGGGGCGTGGCATGAGCCTGGGACCCAACTGCAAGGGGGGCTCCCCGGAGCAAAACTTGCCAACGAAACCTTGAAACCTTGTGACCCTGAAATTTGAAATGGTCCCAAGAGTTTGCAAATTGGAGTTTACCAAGCATCTTTTCGAAATCACAACTTCCATGACTTATTGGGATGGTTTCATCACTTCGAGCTCTCGTTGTTGACTTTGTTGGGTCGCCAACGCCTTGGCATTTTTTGCCTGATCCTCTCTTTTCAAGAGACGACTGGGCCGGGGGTGAACGTGAACAAGCGCTCAAGAAAGCGCGTTGCGGCATCGCAGCCTCCACAGGCTGTTGCGGGATGTCTCCAAAAATTGCGACTGTTGTTAGGGAAATGATGATCAATCATTGGAATGGGCGAGCCAATTTTGGCAAAAAAACATTTCAGTATTGAATCATCTGCCATTTCAGTTTCTCATGCCACGCCCACCCTCGCCTGAGAAATCCCCTATACGAGTGTTCTGGTCATAATTGTGTTTAAAATGGCCATCTCAACTTATGTACCCAAAAAGAGCAGTAGTACTGGAATGATATGGTGATTTTATGGGGTTTAATGATGATTTAATGGGATTAAATGATGATTTCATGATGATTTAATGGTGATTCAATGCGATTTAATGGTGATTTAATCGGATTCAATGATGATTTAATGGGATTTCATGATGATTTATATAATGATGCTTCAATGGGACTTAATGGTGATTTAATGGGACTTAATGATGATTTAATGATGATTCAATGGGATTTAATGGTATTGAATGGTGTTTCAATGGGATTGAATGGTTTAATCGGAGTCAATGATGATTTTATGGGATTTATGGTGAATGATATTTCAGGGTCCAGTCATCTGTGTCATGTTTTCCCGATGAAATCCTATCTTTGGAGACCTCCCAAAGATGCCACTTCGCCACTTCTCTTGAGCTCACGACCTGACTTTGTTAACCCAGAAATTGCTCGTTCTATTTCAAGCCACGACTCAGTCACCAGCTGGTTCTCCATTTGCGACAAGGCCGGAAAAAAAAAATAGTTCTTGAATATTTTCTGGATGAATTTAGCTACGAGTAGCTCTCTTTATAAAAAAAGGTGGGGCATGCTTCATTGGATACCTCACTTCTTTAGCCATCGCGGTGATTCGTGGTGGGCTATGAGCTCGCCCTTTGATTTTCTGGTTTTCCACACCAAAGCAGCACGCATAGTTGTGGATATTGATCCCAAAATCGATCCTATAAAAATCATGAACCATTACCCTCTGGTGAACTAACATAGCAATTGAAAATGGCCATTAATAGTGGATTTTCCCATTAAAAATGGTGATTTTCCATTGCTATGTTAGTTCACCAGAGGGTACCACGGGTTTGTCATGCTTTGTGGCCAATTCCCAAATTGCTTTGGGCCATGTCATCTCCACTGTTCAGTAGCCAGTGCAACAGTTTTTCAGCCTACGGAGGTCCCCACCATTTCTGGTTGGAATCCCCATGCCCTTGCCTCCCAAAAAGGGGTTTGGAAGACTACGTTCCTCTAAAAGTGGCTGTTCTCGGGGACTATGTTGGTTGGGGGGAATGGTATGTATTGGCAAATGTGCGGTTGTCTGTTGTCTGAAAATGGTTTCATGGTTTAAAGCTGTAAAACCTCGTTTTCAACAAATTAAAATTGCAATTTTGGGGTTGTCCCAGTATTCCCCATTTTCAAACAAACCCAAACCAGGTTGGTTATATTGTGCCATTGTGTTCTTATTCCATCCCCAAAATTGGAACCAACAAGGGCGCCACAGAATGACCTGTTTGCGATGTGAGGTCTTTGCCTCAACCTCATGCGCGGATCATGAACTTAGGTCCACCGAAGGAATAAAATGTGGCAAACTAAAAAAAAATGATCGTTGAGCATCGAGAATTGGAACTATTAAAATCGGGAGGAACCAAGATCTAAACATCAAAATAACCAAAACATGTGTTTTCAATAATCAAGAACAGGGAATTGAGCGTCAAAAACTAGAAATAAACCATTAGTGTCACCATCATAAAATGGAATCTGATCATCAAACGCATGGAGCAAACAAGAGCTTTAAGCATGAAAACTAGGCCCTTAACCCTATGAGAGACCACAATAAAGGGTATGGCACTATGGCTATGGTCCAAAGTAATCCTCAAATCCATAAGTCGTTGGATATGGCCCACATTGTGAGTATGGATCAATAAACTGCGGCAAGCAAACATGGCAATGATCAAGACCTTAGGACCCTGGGTCCCCCCATGTGGAAGATTGTGGGTTTTGACCCAATCCCCCTGTGTTTTCTGTCCACGTTTGGTCGCCTGCCAGACTTGACTCGCAGAGCACCCCTCAATTGTCTTGAGAAAACCTCATCTATTGGTCAATCACCTAGTAAAAGTGCCATAAATGAAGGGTAAACGGTATACCCCAAGCTTCAGACATACCCATATGGCTACAAATAGATTCTGTTCGGAAGTCAAATGTAAAAGTCCCGGCGGCAGACTCGATTCTCATATTTTGGGATGAAAATCAAATCCTTTTCCCCAACTCAAAATCCAAGAGGTTCACAGGTGAACAAGAATCCAAGTTCTCCAGTTCTGTTGAAACGAAAAACTAGGTTTGTCTGAAAATTGTGGGGAAAATTACCAATTCCAATGATTGAAATGGATTCAAACACCACTTTCCTCATATTTTCATGCTGCCCTTCGTGGAATTCCTGCCGAAGTGGCCGAAGTCTCAAGCATCTGGGCGCATGCGTGCAGTTTTTAGATGCTTCGGCCCCGAGGGTAAAGCGAGAACCACGCAACATTATGGAAAATCATCTATACCCTCCGGGAATCAAACGTGGCAATGGAAACCCCACATTTATGTGATTTTCCCGTTAAAATTGATATTTATAAGAGATTTCCAATTACCATGTTTGATTACCAGATAGTAAATGGGGATGCTATGGGAAGGTAGTGCGATATAATGATGGGGAGAATATGATATCATACAAATAGGGATTTCTACCATGTGGTTCGGAAACTATTAGTAGCTCATGGGCTCCCCGTTTAGTAGGGAACATGGATATCCGCTCCTTAGCCTAGCTCCCCCCTACACTGGATAGCCTCATCGGAATGCAATGCGATATAATGGGATACAATGTATATGATATGTGGCTTCGGTTTTGTCTTTTTCAATGGAGATTTAACCCCAAAGTGGCGAATGTCATGGGGAAAAATTTATGATAAACGGATTTTGGGGTACCCTATTTGTAGACAATCCCCTCAATCGTTTGGGGCCTGGCCTATCTGCACTGTTTATCCAGGCGCAAGTCTTGCCAGCAAATCAATAGTTTCACCCAAAATGGTACCATGATCAAACTCTTTTCCGGGTACTAGACATGGTTGCCCACTTGAAAACTGCGATGATCATCCTGTGTCTTTCTTCCCTTCAAAAAAAGGTCGCTTTTCCTTCCGAGCCGCTCCTTTCTCCAATCCACCACTCATCTTAACATATGTTCTTCAAGAAATTGCTACCATTGAGTGAGGTTCTTAAACCCCAACATACCAAAAAGCTTCGAAGTTTCAAGTTCTCTGGACCAGTTTTGCCTCGTGGATCAAAACCAGACCCAAGCTAGAAGTGGTAACTAGCTACCCTGCAAGCTGCAAAACTCACCTAAGTTTCAGCTGGATCAAAACAGCAATGATATCCTTAAAAAACAAAACTTCACCTAGCAGTGTTCCCAGGGAATCAAGACAAGTCTTGTTGGTGATTATTTGATTTTTTGATGGTTCATTTGTCGATAAGAATTTTAGAACAGGATGTTGATTGGCAATGCTTGGCGACTATCCTCCACGTTGTTGCTTGAATTGAATATTCATGGGTTTGCCTGCTTTTAAAGTGCCTCACATCCCATTTACATTATCTTACCTATCTTACCTCCACAAAAATCCATCCAAAATCCAAGAAGAAAAATGTGTTTTTGTCAAATAACTTACGGTTCAGCCAGAAAACCCAACAACCCTGACATCAGTGATGCCATGGCACTGGGGATCACCTCTCCCTTGATGACGCGTTTTCGGTACACCTAGGGCCAGGTGTTTTTGTTCAACCCCCGAAAAAGGGAGGTGTGATCAACAAAATGGGGAAAAACAGGAAGCAGAGGTTGAAGATTTTTTCGATCGTTTCCTGAGGGTGAAATTGAGATCATCAGTTTTTGCAGTTGAATCATCTAGAGGGAATTGAGACTTTGAAAATTTGACGGAAAAATAAATATACAAAGAGTGCTGAGAGAAATGGGAAACCAACAAGCTGATCTGACCCTCAAAAGTCTGGGTCAAGCTGGGCCCCAACGGTCTTCAAGCCTGGATAACCTGAGCGATCGGCCAAGTGGCCCGGTAGGGACCACTGAAACGGTGGGTTTTTTCGAATGGCCAGAGGGTATCATGAAGTTTTGAGGATGTACCAAGGAGATACCCTCTGGTAATGACTAACAGTTCGCTATTGAAAATGGCCCAGTCAAAATAGTTGATTTACCCATTAAATATGGTGATTGTCCACAGTTATGTTAGTTTACCAAGGAGATACCAGCAATGATTCAAATCAAAACAAGTTAAAACGTTAAAACCATCATCACAAAAGCCATGCAGCATATGCCCAGCGGTCGGATCACTCGTTGTCAACTCTTTGGCGCGCCAAGCAACCCTTGGAGCTACGATCTTCTTCGATGTAGCCAACATCTTGAGAGATTCTCACCTCAGCTGGGTCGTTGTTCCCGGAGGCTTCCAGGCTCCTTGATGAAATTTCGAGGAATCTCCCAGCATATCAACCAAAAAGCAAACGCTCACGGCTTAAAAACGAGACTTTTTCATGCCTTGGTGAGGCACGGGCAGTGATTCCAGGCCATCAAAAGTCTTGCAGATTCCAAGCCTGGCCCTTGGAACCCCTACCGCGTTCTCATCAATTTCCAGCTGCCTAAAAAAGCTCGGAACTTGAGGGCACCCGGGACGGTAATCAAATAAGGCAATGGAATGCCAATATGATTGGAGTGTTTCCAGAATATGAGTGGAGGATTTCCACTCCAAATCAGCTTGCCCGAAGGATCCAGAAGGTATATAATCTGTCACTGAACATGTCGGGCATCCACCAAAACAAGGTACGTGAAGCCCCTGATGTGACCGCCAGACCCATTGAACCCACCCATCCTCGTTCATATCTTTGAAAGAAGTCTGGCTTTTCCGTGCCCCATCTGAGTTTGACTGATAGTGTAGTGTGACCCCAAAACTTGATGCTTGATCCTATTACAAATGCCCAAACAGATTGGCGGGTATACGTTCATTTTCAAACAGAACCAATGAACCAAATCAATTTTGTTGGCTATTCCATGATATATCCCCATTTACAGATGATGTTCCCTACTAAATGGCCACACACTGCCGGCATCCAAAGCAGATTCCAAAAACTTGTAGCGTTCCCATACTATGCATGATATCCATGATATCCCATTCCATGATAACCAACCATCCAATCTCGCTAATATTAAAGGCCCCCATTCTATGGTCCCAATGATGTGGAAATTACCTACAAAACCATGGTTTTTAGGGGGTGTTTAATATTCGGAAGGGATTAGTCCACAACAATATCCATAATAAAATGGGATACCATGATAGATTAATCTTAATTACCCATAGTGATCCATAATAATATCCATAATAGATCATCCATAATAACCACTTCATGATATCCCATTCCGAACTCTCGCAAACCCCCCGCCTCTTCAAGATACGTCGAGCGCAAAGGAACTGATTTTCATCAGGTCCTTAGAAACGTTGGCGTCGTCCAGCAGTTGCGGTAAATTAGCATTGTTTTAATGGGAAACAACGAGGAGACCTAGGAAAAATGATCTGTAAATGGTCGGTGTTCCATATCAATTTCAAATTATGTACTTTTTTTAGAATCTATATGAATCTATCACATTCCGCACTGAAAATATATCGATTCAATCCCATTCATAAAAATATACAATATATAGTTGTTTTTCATTCGTAAATTGATATGCCACCACAAACCCACGGGAAAAACAAACAGAAACATTATTTTTCCAGGAAATTGCTCTGATAGTCCCAACAAAAAACATGGTTCTCCCGAAATGCGGATTTATTAATGGCTATTGCTCTAAGTGGTTTTCGAAAAAAAAAAAAAAACAATAAACCAGGTAACCAGGTACTATCACCCCCAAAACACAATGTCCATCAGCCATCATATATCAACTACATCCCAATATTTCAACTGGGTCAACCCTTTCTAAATCATGGTCAAATCCCCGCCAAACTCTACAGAAAAGCATGGTTTTGACCTCCAAAATATTGGGTTTTCCTGTAGATTCTCCCTTGCACCAATTCTGGGAAAGATCCCATCCCCCCAATTATGCAATTATCATAGACCCGGCCATGAGTCGAGGGTTCGTTTCCACTAAAATTAGCTTGTTGTCAGGGTCGAACTGTTCATTCTGGGGAGGGTTCAAACTATATTCAAACAAGCTAAGAAGTATGAAAAGGTATTCAGTATCTATCTCTCTATTTCCATCTCTCTACATCTCTATCTATCTAATCTAATCTAATCTAATCTAATCTATCTAAACAATTATCATATATTATGTGTATACAAATATATATATATATATGTACACTACATTTCTATGCTTTTTGATGGTTTTTTCATGGGCTCCGTTGACCACCGTCCAACCCGCGTTCCCTTGAACTGTTTCGCCGCGGCACGGCGCTTCGCACCTGGGATGCGGGCCTGGTGGCTCGTCTTGCCATCGGGCCACATCTGGAGCGAAGACGTTGCTGGGTGATAGTTACTATTGATAGATATAGATTTAACTATAGATGTTATGGTACATAGTTATATAACCCACAATATTGATAGATGTACCATATCTAATTTCTATTGACAGATATAGATATTAGATATGCGATATTAGAGACTATAGATGTACCATTTGAAATTTTCTACTATTGAGATTTCTATAGTTTCTATTGATACTTGATAGTTACTGATGATGTATTCCTATTGATAGTTGATAGTTACTCTTGATAATTACTAATCATTAATATTTACTATTAATGATATTTACTGTGATACATGGTGAATAAGTACAGTATATAATTGTAGATATATATAAGATGTAGATATATACATATATACATGTGAAAAACCCACCATGTATAGAGCATTTTCCGAACGGGAGAGCACAAGCGTTGCACATCTATGATAGTCTACCCTAGGGTATTGTTGATACATGGTAAATATGTACAGTATCTGTTTGGATATAGATACTTTTCAATACTTCTAAACTAGTTTGAGTACTTCTTGACTATAGATTCTATAGATGCCATCCCAAAAATTAACATAGACCCTTGACACATATTTTGTGGGAACGAATCTTCCAACAGTCTATCGGCAGGGCCTGTTTTGTGTGTATATATATATATTGTGTATATGTATGTGTATGTGTATATATATATAATGTGTATGTATGTATATACATATGTACATATGTATTATGTATATATATATGTGTGCATGTATATATAGTATGTGTATATGTATGGGGATATGTATATGTAGTATGTGTATATGTATGGGGATATGTATATATATATATGCACGAACATGTGTGTGTGTGTCATACACGAACTCATATTTCTGGTATTGTCAGTGCCATTACTGTGTACATGATATGACAATGATGTACTGATGTGTATATATATATTAATATGAGTGATATGCGAATGACTATATACCAGAAAATACAGTATTAGCAATCTATGTTTTGAAATACTACCAAATCTATTGGACTGACAATATGTGTATGATACTGGATAATACTAGTAATAATGGTGAACATATCATCACAGATGAATATACATATATACATACATATGCTATAATATACTGTACATGTTTGATCAAGCAGTGAATGGCTTAGTAACCAGGATGATTCCGAATATGTCCCAAGAAATTCCAGTGGTTCATGGTCAGGAAGTGAATAGATGTTGTTAACTGCAGGCTCGTTTACCCATGAAATCTCCCAGCAGCGTTTGGGGTGTCCGGTACGCCACCAACCTGTAGGTTGCACCCCGAAGCCTGGGCAGTTTGCACTAGGGTCTCCTTGCTCTCCGGATTGTGCAAAATTAACATCACCACCTCGGCCGGTGGAATGTTGGCCCCATGGCAAGTTGAACAATGTGGAATGAAACCAGGGGGTATATATCCATGATATCAATGGGGTATATATATATATCCATAATACCATGGCAATATATCCATGAATTGTGCATGATATTCCCATTGATTCTCATGTCTTCGAAAATTCAGACGCGTGGTGGACCTATTTTACCAGATGACGGGAAGTGTGTCCACCAAAAAAATGGACAATCGCCAAGCATTGATCCAGGTAATGTAAACATCACCCAACAATTGGGAATATCCCCAGGTGGGACAAGAAATTCTGGAGGCATGTCCATATCTTGGTGAATATCCATGCATATCTATATATGTACCCTCTGTTAAACTAACATAACTATGGAAAATCACCATTTTCAATGGGTAAATCCACTATAAATGGTCATTTTCAATAGCTATGTTAGTCATTACCAGAGGGTATCTATGAAGTAGTCATCCCTTCCTGCGGAAAAAAAGTAGTCATCCTTTCACTCGTTTGGCGTGCAAAATCTCCGTGGTGCCAAATTCATTCCAGTTTGTGCCACGGGCCCGTGCATCTCCACTGTTGAGCAAAATATCCCCATTTGGCCCATTGGAATCTCGATGTTTGTTGGTCAAATCATATCAAAACCAAGTCATCCTGCTTCAATCTTCATGTTTTTTGATATCCTCGTAGTTTCTAGCATCCCTGTTGGTGTCCAATCCGAGTCCCTTTTTCGTTGGTCAATATCATGGGGTCCAACCTCCATTTCTTGTTGTTTAAATCTCCATTCTGTTGAGGACTGAGTATGTCTACACTTTTTGTTGCTTTGTATATTAACATGTTGCTCAGGATGGACTACTCTACATGTCCACTTCTTGTCCGTTAATCAACTGACATGTTTTGAGGCTTGACTAGATCTCTACTCCTTTCTGGTAACTCCTTTCTGGATTTTCTGGCTAATATGCTCCATGTTTTTGTTGACTTGTGGAAAGCCCATGATTTCTGTCGGATAATTATCTACAAATGGTGGATCCTAGATGTCTCCAACACGCCTCCGTGATCACTAAGATCTCTCCACTGGACACCTGGCGCCAAATGATAGGCAAAATCCACGGCTCATTTTTGGTCAAACCCGTATGATATACCCCTCCGGTCATCAAAGGTAAGTAAGCAATGGAAAATCCCCAAAGAAAATCATGTATCTATAAATCAGCAACTTTCCATTGCCACATTTGATTACCGGAGGGTGTCTCCAAATTGGGATTTTTTTATATGTGGGACTCGAATCACACTTCAACAAATCATGGGAGTTTCACCAACTAGTGACACACCGTGGTGTCCAATAATTGGGTACCCAAAAATCCATGAGTTTAGCATCAAAATTGCAACAAAAATCCCCACGAAATATACCCTCTGATAATTTAACATAGCTATTGAAAATGACCATTTATAGTGGATTTTCCCATTAAAAATGGTGATTTTCCATAGTTATGTTAGTTTACCAGAGGGTACCCATTGTGAACCCCACTAAACATATCCCTTTTTGTGGGTCCAATTCACCAATTCACTGAATAGTCGTCACTATGGTGTGATCCTCCATCCGTTGACCAAACGATGCCCATTACATCACCAGTTAACACTTCAAATTGTTGAAAACCCCAATCTCCCAATTATCACCGTGAAAGCAGTGGTGAAATCTCAGATTGAAAAGATCATGGATCTACCCTCTGGTAATTTAACATAGCTATGCTATAGATGGCCCATGTATAGATGATTTGCCTATTGAAAATGTGGATGTTCCTTAGCAAGCTGTTCAATTACCAGAGGGTAACTCGCAGGAATTGGGATTTGGAAACAAATTTGAGGGCCGACCAGCAAGAGAGGAAAAACTACCCAGAAAAGTTGTCATACATAGATGAATATAAAAAATGGATACAGGATATCTGTTGCCACGAATTCTGATCATCACTGGCTTGACTCCTGAGTGTGTCTAAAAATAGGGTAGCCCATTCCATCCCGTGCCTTACAGCCTCCTTTTCCATATGTTTATAGTTTATATAATGGCCCTAAACTTATCTACCCCCCCCCCGTTTTCAGCCCCAAAAATCTGGACCAACCGATGCCAGGGCCCGGAATGACCTGCAACAGTCGCGTTTCACCCTTGATGAGCTCGGAAGAAAATTCTTTCAAAGACCTCGTGCCGCGTGTCACATCTTTTGGCCGGGGTACTTGGGTACTTGATAATAAACCAACACATGGCCCCTGTTTGACCTGCAAATATGGAGATGTGATGAAAAGTCGGGACTCAGGACAATAAAACCTCAGGGCAGAAGCAACAAGGGCAGTGTTTGAAAAGCCTCTCATAGCTTGTTGGAACCCTTTCACAAGGCCTTTAATAATCGTGCGCCAACCCACTTGTTGCATGCTTGATCAAGCTCCTGGTACTTGAAGTCATAGGTATGCGTGATGGTGGAACCACAAAATTTTGGTGATGGAACCACTTAATCTGGCAGATTGAGTGGTCTAATGCCCAAAAAAGATCAACTTCTGAAGATTTGGTCCAGAAATCCGACTCATAGACGTCTCTTTTTTACTAACCCCCCGTAAGAATACCCCTTTTGGGTGACGTACAAGATTCCCCATCCCCCTGCACCCCATTCCAAAGCTCCGGCCATGGCACGCACACCTATGCTGAATGTAACATACTGTAACTGCAGTCCCAAAGATGACAAGTAAACCACCATCAAACTAGTCTAGATTCGGTTTTCTATTGGGGACCCCTCTAGGTTCACCCAAGCAACCAAGCTGAGGCAGCCCACTTGGTGCCATCCTGACCAAACTTTTTGACGTCAATCCTTGGCGATGCAAGCCTAGCCTCAAATGCCCTCGGGATCCCTCGGGTATGTCCCAAATTGACACCCGAAATTCCTCCCTGACGTCATGAGGCTGGAGTCATCTTTCCACCAGCCCAGCTTTGTTTCAGAGGGCCCCCACGAGTGGGAGACCAGGTATTCTTTGAGCGCCTGAAAAGAACGTGGAGAGATGGCACCTTCCGAGTACCATATCTATGGAACTATGGAACCAACTGAGGTATACTGTAGGATTTTGATGCATTCACCTAAAAAAGGCAGTTTCAAAGGTCTCTCTCAATTCGTTCGTGATTTACTCTCACTTCCAGGGCATTAGATGCATCAAGAGTGATCCCCTTTGTTGCAGAGAACTGCTGCCTGGTGATATGTATATCAATGATTCGTGATGTTCCTTTAGGGTACATGTTTCCTGTGACTCATAAACATGTCTATTTCTACTGGTGGAGGGCCCAAACATCACCCGGCCCAGCTTTCAAGGTGAAATATCCAGGTTGTTGTAGTAGTAATTTGTCCGCCCATTTATTCTAATTTTGACTATCATTATTCACAGTTTATCTATAGGTATTATTTTGTCTATCAATTCTAGAACTATAGAGAGTATTATCTACGACCCGTGTTATCTACTATTATCCTCTTTAATATTTTATCTATTGTCTATTGATTCTGTGGGTGTGTCTTAATTTTCGGTACCAAAAAAAAATATCTTTGATCAGCATTTTCCCATTAAAATGGCAATCTGACAACCCAATGTGCATATATATATATTACATGTGTATATATATATATATATATTACATGTGTATATATATATACATATTTATATAGAGGGGAGAGGCTGGGGGTTCCCCGGAAGGCGTAGGAACCTTCAGTCTTTCTCCTGTATATATATATATATATATGCATATTTTGTCGTTCTTGCATACAAATGGGTGGGGGTGGGGGGGATGTTAACGTTCATTGCATTGCGTCATCAGAAGATGTTGTTACGTTGAAGATCGGTGTTGCATACAGATGGGGGGTGGGGGGATGTTAACGTTCATTGCATTTTGTCATCAGAAAATGTTGTTACGTTGAAGATCGGTGTTGCATACAGATGCGGGGTGGGGGTTGGGGGGATGCTATTGTTCATTGCATTGCGTCATCAGAAGATGTTGTTACGTTGAAGATGTTGTTACGTTCAAGGTAATGTTAACTTGAAGATGTTGTTACGTTGAAGATGTTGCACGGGGCTTGTGCACCTAGGAATGCTTTCAAAATGGCTTTGTGGATGTGAAGAGAAAAAAAAACATGTGCATTTCGCCCATGGTTCTCTGGTGGACTATGACATGTTTATGTCTATCAAAAGAAACCTGAAATTCCAAAAAACACACAATTCCTATGGGAAAAGCAAAAATGATACAAGTTGATGAACTTGAAAAAAAAAAACTTTGAAACCGCGGACAACATATCCCGGATATGTTGTCCGCATGTTGAACTAATTCCTGATATTCTCACGTTATAGGAAGAACACAAAACACTGTAAAACACTGTGAAAAATGATATGTTTCAAACTGGACCACAATGAACTTCAATTGCCTTCCGGGGAACCCCCAGCCTCTGCCCTATATACATGTATAAATATGTATGTATCTGTGCATCCACTGTATCCCATAAGATATTCCTTGTTTCCAAAATCTGTTGATATCGTTGGTTACAATCTGTTGATAATCCCATATGACAGATATAGGTTTACCATATTATGTATATATTTCTATATAGTATGGTTATATACATATATATATATATACACATTAACCACACAAAAATAAAATCCCATGAATTCCGATGACATCACAGGGATTTCCCCAAAAAAAAAACGACCCAAAAAAAAAATCACCGCCTCCTCGTCCAAGCCGATGGGCGCACGGACCAAGGTGGAAATCTCGGTATGGACGAGTGGAAGGGGGAATATCTATGTGGAGACTGTATCTATGTATGGGAAATTGCAAATAGACATGTAGATATATACACACTGATATACACACGTCAACGGTGTTTCTTTGCGTGTTTTTATGTATATGCATGCATATGTCACATGCATATGTACACACACATATACATATATACATTATATGTACATATGTACATATGTACATATATACATATACATATGCATTTACATAAATATAAAAATAAAATAATAATAATAATAATAAAAACATATGCACATGTAAATACATTAATGTCAAAAGACATATGCACATGTAAATACATATATACATATAACATATATACATTTGCACATTTACAGTTACATTTATATATATATATGATCACGTAAACACAATCTATTTGATGCTTTTCAAGCACTATACAAGCTGCGCAATGTAAAGAATACCGCCAGCGCGCAGAGCACAACATGATTAACGCTAACAACATAGCCCTTATCCTTATGGCATCGCCGGTGTGCGAAGCTCTACAATAAGTACTGATGTATGTGTATATATGTATATGTGTTATGTATATGTTTCTCTATATATTGACATATATTGACCACATTTAAATACCTGTCCGCTCACAGCGACCACTCAGGGGGCCAAAACTCAAGGAAAATGCTGTGCTGACATCCAGAAGCGATATGGATATGTAATGGGATATCAATTGGCATAGGGTGTGCCTGAAAATGGTACTCAAAAATGGCAAGTTAAACTGTGAAACCAGGGGGTTTAGTGGTACCCCATTTTCAGGCAAACCATGGCAAACCTACATACCTGTCTCATCAAATACTGATCTCATTTTATGTGCTTGTCTTGTCTCTCAAAACCCTGTACCCCAGCCCTTCACATCCTTAAAAAGGAAACGCCTGAAAAGTCTTGGTTTGTTCACCTGCCCATTTGGGGAGATCATAGATCTATGGCATTTCAACCATTTCGGTGCAAATTGGACTAGTTCCCAAACCTCAAAATCAGCCCATTTACCAGACGAAACATCATCTGGGCATGGGTCCATGGGCTAAAACCCTGTACCCCTTCTGTTCATACCAATACTTGGGATGTACGTGTGTTCATCCACTCAAAATATGGTATAACAGCTTGTGACCCATCCCATTCTATCCCATTCCCAATTCTATCCCATTGTACCATCGAATGTTGATTGTATCCACATATATCATATATCCCATCGTATTCAGTGAATGTACAAATTCACCAACAAATACAAATGTTTTCTATAAATTCACCAACATATTTCGGTGAATATTGTTTCACAAACATGGTTGACTCAAAGTTCGTTCCATGTCAGCAAAAGCGGTGAAAATTGATGTCAGTGCCAAAAGCGGCACTTGGGCTCCCGTGCATGCGATCCCTGCACCTTCAACTTCACCTTTCCACCAATGATTTCAGGGAAAAAAATGGTTGGGTAAACTTCGCATCATTTAATGAAGGTAAACATGAATGATAGAACATGTTAGTAATGAATGATCTAGATCATGTGACTTAGATTTACCAATATTTACCCTCTTTGGTTCTAGGAGGCCTCCAATTTATAGGAATGTAAGCGGCCCTGTCATTTCGTCCCGAAACCCACACGTTTGGCTGTGATGAAATGGGCCAACTTCACAAACACTTCTGGCACAGGAAGATTTTTTTTGCGCAAACAGGAATTGAGCGCATTTCCAGGAAACAAACACTGAAGGTTCTCCGGCTTTTCCACCACTAGGGATAGATTCAGTTGGTGAATAATCCTCAACTGATGGATACATCCAGTTGGTCAAAAAATCCCCCAGTTGGTCAAATATGAGTGACATCCACCAAAACCAGCCATGTTTGTTGCAGAAAATGGGACCCATATCTTGTTGCTGATCCCAATCAGCAGGGAATCCAAAACCCCACCTTTCCAGTAGCTCGCTGGAACGCTTGGTGGAGGGACTACAAAAAGCCATGATCCCCATATGTGATCGTTGTACGCAAAGTGTTCATGGTATTCATGTATTCTTCTTCAAGCCTACCATTTGTCTGACTCTTCAAATAGCTTGCCCCATATTTTTTGGGAGTGTTATTAGTCAAGTGCCCATAGATGCTTAAATCATCCAAAAAAATCCTCATGTCTCATGTTCTTTCGGCCATTTTTTTTCGCCCCAGTTGAATCTGGCCTTTTTGGCTTCAGCTTCGGCATCGGTCAGCCAGGTGAAGAACTTGGTATTGCCCTGCCATGGTGAGGGTTTCAACCGAGTTTGAGCAACGAGAATCTGGATCAAACCAAAAGGTGGGAAGATAAAGGTATGAGTCTGGGTCAAATGGACTGGTGGTCACAAATGGACTGGTCAATTGTACTGCCATACGTCTTATTTGGGGTCGATTTTGATCTATCTCTGGCGAAACTCGAACGCCAAGTGGATATGCTTCAACAGACCGGTGACTATTAGCTAGTTTTGTTGGTCAACACCAAGGCTGGGAAGATCCAACACTGGGTCGTTTCAGATCACCCACATTGGGATGCACATCCAACTGAGTCACCCCCATGATATGCCCAGTATGTGTGTATGGATATATATATATATATCCATATATATATATACATATATACATATATACATATATATGTATATATACCGGGTTCTTAAAAAAAAAAGCCATCCACAGGAAACCACATAGATACCTTACCTTCCCCCACAACCCCAACTTCAATGTTGTGATCGGAAGTGCCGCGCATCATCAACAGAAATGGCTGTTTTTCTTGAAGGCCGCCAAACACAAAATTCACAAGACAACATGAGTTGGGGGACGGGGGGGACACGACGTCTGTAGTGTGGTACTTCATAGGATCGCTGTTTTTTTTGAAGAACCCGGTATCCATATATCTATGTATATATATATAATTATATATATATACACTGTATATATATATATGTATATATATACACACACCCACTTATTCCATATGTTTTTCCCCATAAAACCATATTTCCATCTGCCACTTAAGAACCCGGTCATCCCAGCTGACTAACCGCGCCTGGGGATCAGTGGCATTCCACTGACTCATGGCAGGCAAGCCCACCTGGTCGCCAGCAAAGAGGATGGTGACTCAGAAATGGCCATAAGTGACTCAGAACACAGGAATAGATAGGAATAGTACCCTCTGGTAAATTAACATAGACCCTGGCAGATAGGGGTTGGAAGACTAGTTTCCATTAAAAATTGGTGATTTTCAGGGTCTATGTTTATTTACCAGAGGGTAATCCCTAAAATTGGATATGTGATGATGTGACTCAAGATGAACAAATGACCAAGTGACTCAAAGTTGATACACAAGCAGACAGTCATTAGGTTACCCAAAGTTAAATTTGTGAATTCATCGCTACCAATGACCATAACCTTGGAGTCACAGCGTGTCCGATGTTGATCCAGACCCACAAGATGATGAGGAACGTGATCCCACTCTTTAGCAACTGGGTTGATCCGAAATCCCCCAAGAAGCTGAGAGAACAGAATCTGCATAGGTCCCAGAAAGGCAGAAATGGCAGGAAGAACAACTGTTTTGATCAAGGGATGATGGCCGGATGGCCGTTGACCCCATGCGCCTTCTCTTGAATAGCCTGGTCAGCAAAGCCGGAACCATGGTGAAGCAACCCATTTGTCACCCGGACATATACCGGCGTCCTCCACGTTGTCCAATAAGTCTAGGATTTCTTGTTTCACCGCAATTGCGGACATGTTTCTGGGTCAGAAAGAACAGTGGCTGAATGAACTTTTTGCTTGAGCAGGGTGAAAAAGGGTCGCCCAAAGTTTGGGGTATGATCCCTGCTTGCCATGATGTATACATATATATATATATATTTATTTATTTATTTACAGTATATACATACATATGTATACATACACACATATAGTATACGGTTCCTATAGACATATCATAAAATGTATATGTATACATATATATATACTCGTATGTTTCATGTGTGTGTGTGCATATAGTTAGATAAAGATACTCGGCTTACATATTGTACCTTGATATTAGACATGTATATTGGACGTAGATATTAGCAGATCTGTGTCTATATTACAGAATACATACTCCAGATGTTCACGTGTATACATATGTACATATGTATAATCGTACACAATGTCATATCATATAACATAACATAACATAATATAATCGAATGTAATATAAGGTAATGTAATGTAATGTAATATCAGATCATATCATATCATAACATATTATAACATGTCACATCAGTTTCCACATATCATATACCATGTCATATATAGTACCATATATCATATCATGTATAAAATCATATGGCATACATAATATATCATAAATCATATATCATATATCATACATCAAATATCATATATCATATAGCATATATCATATCCATTTCAATATCATATCAATATCAATATCATATCATTACATCATATTGTATCGTATTATGTTATACTATACCATAACTATAGAATGTATATATGGTGGTTTCCGAAAATAGTGGTACCCCCAAATCATCCATTTATAGATAGGATTTTCCATGAACTAAACCATCCAGCGGGGTATGGAAACCCCCTTTTTTTGGATGCCAGTCATCCATGCCTTCTCCGTGGTGGCCACTTTGCACTCCACCAACTCCTTGCGGTAGACCGTGGTCACTCCCTCGGCGCGGCGCAGGCGACTTCATCCCGGACCCACTTTCTGGTGGAATTGACCAAGTTCCCGGGTTTCTCAACCCAGTTTCGGGGGTGTCTCCAATTTTGTTAGTAGAAAATCGTGACAAGCACTCCCGAGAGAGGGAAAAAAACTCACACTTCGCCACTGCTGACCCCATGAAGCACGCTGGAACTGGTCAACCTCCATCCATTGAACCACCAAACATGTGACCAAATCATTACAAAAGACAAAGAAGGTGATTATGAAAAGCCCTAAAAGACAGCCAAAAGCAAAAAGCCGTTGGTTCATAAGTTCATAAACTCATTAAAAACTATATAAGTATAGTTCTATCCCCCTTTTACCAACCCTTGGCCCAGTGGCTGGGAAGCTGGGTGAGTCCGTTTCCTCCTCCTGTCGCTCCACTGCGGTGAAGTCGAAGCTTACCTAGGCGATTCGAAGCTCGATAGTTGTTAAGTTGGTAAGCATCACTTCAATAACGGTTGGGTTTATGGTAGATATTCCGAAAGTTTAGGTTTGTGCCTTTTCATTTCTCAGTTGGTTTATGGTAGATATATCGAGATAGTTTTAATAGTTTAGAAACCAACTATAATTTCCAACAACATCAGAATATGTGCCACGGAGGGGATCACACCATGAAAAAAGAACAAAATCACTTGGTGACTTCAAATGAATTGATGGGTTAAGTTTGGCCAAACATTATTAATTATATAAGTTGAAATTACCCATTAATATATTGTAATCATTACAGTAATCCTTACAAACACGTGAAATAGCCTTCAGGTGTCCAACTGTCCAACTGTTTGGGTTTCCTTGAAATACTAGAGAAGTGAAGAAAAATGCAGACTGAGAAAAAATGTTTTTTTTCATGCCAGAAAATAAAAAATGAACCATACATCAAAGGTTTTGACAGGATTTGGCAGGTTTAGAGCCAACCCTAGCCATGGGGAGGCGGTCCGCAAGTTGCGAGCCATCAAGTCAATCAGGCCATATGGTTTCCCAAAATTAGATGTTCCCATTCCCGGCACTTTCAACATCACTTGAAGCGATGGCTCAACAGGTCTCAAGTCATGGGTGGTACCCCATTCTATGGCCATTTCAATGGAAGGATATTGAACCGCTGGGGGAGTTTGGAACCTACAACAATGGGTGAATTTCACCAACAAACATGATAATCATTGGCTGGTGTTCCATGGAAATCCAGAAGGGAAACAATGAATTTACCATCCAAATGTTAGGGTGTTTTCTTCCGGGAATCATTCCTTTGACCAATTCGCAGAAAATGCGTAGAATATGTTGAACGAAAATTTTTCCGACATCCAAACCGGAAGATGGTTCCGATGGAAATAAGGATAAATTTTCTGAATAAGCGTCTCAAGGAGGAAGTGGATTTGATCCATAAAAATGAGGAAACCTTCTCCCACACAATTGTGATTTTACATACGAAAGAGTCACACAAGAAAAGGTGATCTTGATGCCGTGTCCCGGCAAGGCAGTTCGAGATCATCCGGGGAAACCCGCAAGAAATGCTGGGAATCCTCCGGATTTACAGAAAAACACCATACCGCAGCTGATTACCCCCAACACAATATCGTTTTAGCAAGTTGCTATGGATCAAAACACTAGATTCCGCGGGTTTGCATCAGCATTCGGCTGATTATGGATGTTCATCCCCCCAGTTGAGAACGGGATTTCCCTAATGGAAGATGATATTCCGCTATATATTGGTTAGTATCATCCCCGAACTAATCAACTCCATACATCCCATTATTTATTATATAGTGAAAATCCGTATAAATGATGGTCAACCCCCCAAACTCATCATCAATCAACCATCATTCATTTATCAGTCATATCCACTTATATATCCCCAGAGTTCGGTACTGAAAACCCCTATTGAAATCCGCCGACCCCTGCCTAGCTGCTACGTGGCACGTTTTAGGCGCCTTTAAAAGCCTCAAAAGCTTCAAAAGCTCAAAACCCTCCGCTGCAGCTTTCGAAGGCCCCTCATACGGCACCATTGTGCCTCCCTAGATTATAGGTTTCGAAAGTGCGACGTGGCACGTTTCAAAGGGTCAAAATCGTAGGCTTCAGCTTTCGAAGGCTCTTCTGTACGGTACCATGGGCTCCTAGGCCCTGCAAACTGTTTCTATTGGGTTTCGAAACTGCTACGGGGCATGTTTTCGGCGCCTTTAAAAGCGTCAAAAGCTCAAAACCGTCCCCTGCAGCTTTCGAACGCTCGTCTATACAGCACCATGGTACCTCCCTAGGCCCCACAAACTGTTTCTATTTCCTCTATACAGCACCATGGTACACGCGGCACGTTTTACGCGCCCTTTAAAAGCTTCAAAAGCTCGAAACCTGCCACAGAAGCTTTCGAAGGCTCCGAACCAAGGTTGCGGCCTCTGCAGCTTTCGAAGGCAGCCCCGGCCGAAGTACGCCAAAACATTACAAACTCCTACGTGGCACGCTTTAATGACCTCTAAAACCCCCAAAAGCTTAAAACCATCCGCTGCAGCTTTCGAAGGCTTTTCTATACAGGCCGCAATGGGTCCCGCAAACCTGTTTGTATCGGCCTGGAAAACCTACGGACACGGCCGTGCGCAAGGGGAAATTGCTGCGGCACACCCACTCCCAACCCCACATAAGAGGGGGTCGGCGGCACCTGGGCGACAGCCCATTCTATAACATAGATGTGGAAAACCCATGGTTTCCCCAGGAAACTAGACGACGGTTGGCCCGAGAGCGAAAAAGATGTTTTTCAAGCAGCTCTGAGGATGGTAGTCGTAAAAGATAGTCGGTGAATAGTTGGTGAATTTTATATGAGCTATGGAAAGATATGGTGTGAAAAAGTAAGATTGATCAAGAAGAGAATATTTGGTAAAGGGCATCAGATGACATGTGTCTTGCAACCACAGAGAGAAAGAGGGGGCAGAGATAAAGAGAGAGAGAGAGAGAGAAAGAGAGAGAGAGAGAGAGAGAGAAAGAGAAAGCAAGAGAGAGAGAGAGAGAGAGAATGAAAGGGGGGGGTAGAAAGAAAACATGAAGAAATGTAATGTGAGCAACAAAAGTGCACAGGAGGCTCAGTGCCATGAGTCTGCGAATGACATGTGCTATCTCATTTTATTATGGTAATTCCCACACACATTGCGGAAAAAGGCGCGGCACCATCATTCCGTGAACGCGAAGAAACGCGACGCTTTTATACAGAGACGCTTTTACACACAGAATCTTTTACACATAAACACTTTTACACACAGACGCTTTCACACAGAGACGTTTTTCATGCACACACACACAGACGCATTTCCACACAGAGACTTTTACACGAAAACACTTTAACACACAGACGCTTTTATACACAGACTCTTTTACACACATACACTTTTACATGCAGATGCCTTTTTACAGACGCACACACACTTTCACACACAAACGCTTTTACACACAGACGCTTTTGCACACAGACACAGACGCTTTTCCACACAGACCCTTTTACACACAGACGCTTTTACACACAAACACTTTTACACACATACGCTTTTACACACGGACGCTTTTACACGCAAACACTTTTACATACAGGCGCTTTTACACACAGACGCTTTTACACTCAGACACTTTTACACACAGACGCTTTTCCACACAGACTTTTACACACAGACGCTCACAAAGCGCGGCACCACTGGGTGACCTCAGTTGCAAACAAAGGTGCGCAAACATAGTTGCAATGGAAATGCCAAAAAATCGCAAAAGTGCACAAGACCAGGCTCAGTACCATGATCAACGCACAATCCAATGCAAGGCATCCGCTCTTTGAGATACAAAATAAGCTCGGCACCATGATGCCGTGGATGACCTCAGTTGCAAACACAGGTGGGCAAACAAAGGCTCCGTACCATGGCATCCAAGAGAATCTAGAAGTCCGTGCAAGAATGCTGTGAATGATTCCACAATAGCAAGTTCGATATCATGATGGCAAGGATGACACCTGTTTCACTGCATTTCTCCGATGTCCCTACAGGATGGAAAAAATCTTTACAGACAAACAACAGTTGGCTACTGGTTTTGCATGTTCGTCACGAACAGTCTCTCCAGACGAACACTGCTACAGATTAATTTTGCACCAGGGCATCGAAGAAATCATCTGCGCAGCTGCAAACACAGATGGTGGTGCCTGCCTCCTTCCAATGGCACATTTTCTTCAAAACAACTGGCCAACCAGCTTTTACCAGATAGTGTCCGGTTTCTGGTTGCAAAGAATATTTTGGAGCCAATTCAGCGCTCCCAGGCACAAATGAAAGAATGTGTCGTAGAATTTGTTCATCAAAGACATCCGCCCTTGCACGGATTCCGGATGCATTCCCTCCACGGTCTTTCTGGCAGAACACACTTACATATCCAAATACTTTATGCGACATGTTTGTGCACCAAAATTTTGTTTGTTGTTAACTGCTGTCATGTCCAACGATGTGGGCGCTGCCGCCGAGTATCTTTCAACACCAAGACCCATAATCGGTTGGCATCATCTCTTGCTTCTTCATTTGAAAACAGAATGTAATACAATGTGAAATCGAGCATGAGCTCATGCATCCAAGCTAGTGGCAAATGGCCCCAGAAATGGCGGCCCATTTCCGGAGGGCCGTTCATGTGCACTTGATCGTAGATGTACAATTCTCTCGAACCGGCGTCCTTCCAGTCATGAATAGATACCAACAGCGCATCGTTCAAATCAACTGAATTTGTTTGAAACGAAGTATATTGCAATCTCCCCGCAGCTGCAAAGCAATCGGCTGCCAGGCGCGACATGCTGTTAGTACAGGCTACAGAAGTATTAATTGAAAGCGACAGGTTTCGATATGTCCACTACAGCTTCACCTACAAACGTCACATCTCTTGTGGCGAAACGCATCTTGTCCATTCGTTCACATCTGAGCCAAGGAATGTACAACGCACAATCCAATGCGAAGCATCTGCTCTTTCATTTCGAAACTGAAAACACGACTCCTGAGTTTGACATACCAAATAAGCTCGGTACCATGATGCCGTGGATGACCTCAGTTGCAAACAAAGGTGCGCAAACATAGTTGCAATGGAAATGCTTCAAAATTGCACAAGTGCACAAACAAAGGCTCAGCACCATGGTATCCAAAAAACAACAAGTGAACGCAGTGAATGATTCCACAATAACAAGTTCGATATCATGATGGCATGGATGACACCTGTTTCACTGCATTTCTCCGATGTCCCTACAGGATCGAACAATCTTTACAGACAAACAACACCTGGCTACTGATTTAGCACGTTTGCCACGAACAGTTTCTCCAGGCGAACAGTGGTGCACATTAATTTGTGAGCGCAGTGAATGATTCCACAAAAACAAGTTCGATATCATGATGGCATGGATGACACCTGTTTCACTGCATTTCTCCGATGTCTCTACAGGATCGAACAATCTTTACAGACTAACAACACTTGGCTACTGATTTAGCATGTTCGCCACGAACAGTCTCTCCAGGCGAACAGTGGTGCAAATTAATTTCTGCCCGCCGCACTCAGTTCCATGTGCCACTTGGCCCGCAAACTTTCCAGCTGCCACAAGGCCTCCAAGACATAGGGGCGATTGTGCCAAGGGCGCAAGGCAGGTCTTTTCTCAAGCAGCAACTGGACGGCATCCTCTGCAGAGTAGTTGTAACCCACGACGAGCCAAGCACATAAAACCCCAGCGCTTCGATTGATGCCTCCAAAGCAATGGAAGAGCACGTGCATGGATTCGCCCCTGGTCACTGCCAGCATGGACTGTTTCCAGAGTTGGCCACAAACAATTTTCCACTGTTCCAAACAAGAAGCTACCAAGTCAGGGATTCGTTCCTGCCAACGGTGCGGCGGCTTCAATGTCGTGTCCTCCAAATGACACTTGACGTGATAGACATTTTCTTGCTGGAAATACTGCGCCCAATCCTTTGGGGCGCCTCGAATCTCCATTTCATTTGCGCACATGGTCACCACCACGGTGACCTTCACCGACAGAGTCTCGAAAATGTCTTTCAAGCTGCAGGCCGCTTTGATGCTTCCAAGCAGCACCGACGCTCGAGCCGTAGGTTTGCAGATCACGGCAGCGTCCAATGGCCACTCCTCTATGGACCCGAAACTGTAAGGGTGCCGAGAGGTAATGCGGTCCAAGTCATTCCAGCATTCTTTGCCGGCGTAAGCCTTCCTGATATCTTCTTCTCGCGCCGCTCTCCACTCGCAAGCGCCGGTGGTCATGGCAGCAACTGTGATCGAACAGACGTTCCCTACCTTGAACACGACGCAAGCTATTTAACAGATCCGCAATGCACAACTACAGGTCATTGATCCGCAAGCCACGCGAGCGACGACAATGCAAGCACAATGCAAGAACAAAACTACCTCCCGCGGCAACGAAGTGCAAATGCACAACTACAGGTCATAAGTGTGACACTGAATTGCAAGCCGAAACTCGATGCCATGATGCTGTAGAACCACTGCCATTTCCAGTGCTCCTCCATGGCATGCGTAACAAAAACTGCCATACGAGCATATACAAATATCAAGACAGATTACCCAAAAAAACAGCTCCATACCATGATGTCGAGGATCTCACATGTTCACGCGTTTTCATATGGAAAATCTCATAGAATTCACCAAATAAGCTCGGTACCGTGATGCAGTGGATGACCTTAGTTGCACGACTTTCTCTGTACAGTGAAACTGTAAACGAAGGATAACAAAAGCGCGCAAACGAATGCATATCATGATGGCACGGGTGACACCCTTTTCATTGCATTTCGCTCGATGCACGGACAGTCCCTGTAGCATCGAGCCCGTCAAAATTCCGTGTTTAACAGATCATTCGTCATTGGCTCGCACTTCCCGTTGGATGGACAGCAACTCGGGATCCTTGGCCCAACGCACATCCGACACCACAGATTGAAAGGTCGGGTTTGCACGAAGCCAGCGGCTCCACTGTCTATTCACTCTGCATAGGTTGTACCACCCGCAAAGTGAGGTCCAAGCCAGAATCACCTGGAAACAATGCAAGTCCAGTCGGGCCAACACTGGACCTGCCAACTTTGCGTCAAGCTTGGGAAGCCAGAATTCAGCCAGCATTTGTTTACCAACACTGGAAGGGCGAGCGACAAGAGAGACCACAGAATTCTCATCTGCAAGCTCACGAAGGATAGTCAAACTCTCACGAGCCGCGAATTGGCGATGACCTTCCGCTGCGATGCAAATGTTTCTTTTGCCACAACGTCCTCCATGATGTGTTTCTATGCGACCAACCAAGTCGCCCAGCAAATCCCCCACAGTCATCCACTGCAGTAAATGCTCTTGGTATAAGAGATCGACACTGGCATCCCGTGGGTCCATGTCGAATAGAAAATGAAACTCAGGAAGGGCACTCAGCTGCTGGAGAGGCCAGATGTTCAAACGAAAACAAATCTCGACCGACATGGGCTGCGTCTCCGCCAAGTTCGGCGACACGTGTTCATGGACAGCTGACAGCATCAAACCAGGCCGTTCTCTTCGATGGAGATAGATGTCATCCAGACGACGACGCAAGGCGCCGGGTTCCATGTCAGCAGCTATAATCCCGCCGACGTCGAAGCAATTAAAACTGCAGTCCACACCAAGTAATTTCACCATGAAAATGAAACAAATTATAACAGTGCGTGTTTGACATCGATTTTACGCTATGTTGCAGGAATCAATCGCTCTTGCACAAGCCGCAGTCTCGCGGACAGTCCCAACAGATAACCGTGGCTTGTTTGACATTCTACATGCAACTGTTTTCGTTTTTGTTGACACATCTTGCTCGCACATGATGCCCAAATTGGTCAACAGATTTGAGCCTCTGCATCCGAATTTCCACAGCATCGGACGACGCGGATGACGCGGTCCCATGCTCCATTCGCACAGACGTTCCCGTCAGCAAATGAAACAGCGACCACAAAACGTCCACAAACGTCACGGGTGCGTGACTTCAAACAAACATTTTGCATTCAGAAATTCCGAGACATGCATATCTATTCCCTTGATTTCAAAACAATGCCATGACATGCTTGATTTCAAAACAAAAGTGAACGGTGCAATATTGAACGGTACAATGATTCCCGTAGTATTTTTTTGTCCACTGCTCATGCATTTCAATGAAAACATCACATATATATTTTTTTCGTGCTATACATTACATAGATCCACTGCATCGTAAACAAACACTGACATTGTCACAATGCAATTCTCGAGATCTCACGGACAGCCCCTACAGAAACCTCGAGAAGTGCAAGAAATGTTACAGATACCCGTTTGCCAATCGTCACTTGTTTCACGAACATTCAGCGTACATATAAGAATATGGATGTTCACTCTGTGCACAATGCATCTTGTCTCTACGTCCACGTCTGAGCCCAGGAAAGAGGTACTTGGTAACTTCTACAACTTCATGCACTAACCTGCTACACACTCGCACAATTCAATGCAAAGAATGTGTTGTTCGAAGCCTGAGACCACGACTCCTGCGTTTGACAAGCAAAAATCATTGTCGCATAGACATGCAAACTGAACAGTGAAGCTCACTATGAACGTATCAATTCCCACACAGATTACCACACCAAACGAACCAAGCTCCGCACGTCCTAGCACGGATACACTAGCAAGCATTGTCACCCTCAATCTCTAACAGTTCCATGTCGTGCGGTCAAAGTACACACAAAATCTTTTACACACGAACGCTTTTAGACGCTTTGACACACAAAAGCCTTTACACACAAACGCTTTTACACACAGACGCTTTTACACACAGACGCAACGCTTTTACACACAGACGCTTTTACACACAGACGCTTTGACACACAAAAGCCTTTACACACAAACGCTTTTACACACAGACGCAACGCTTTTACACACAGACGCTTTTACACACAGACGCAACGCTTTTACACACAAAAGCTTTTACACACAGACGGTTTTACACACAGACGCTTCTACACGCAGATACGTTTTACACACGCACACACGCTTTCACACACAAACGCTTTTACACACAGACGCGTTGACACACAAACGCTTTTACACACAGACGCTTTTACACGCAGATGCTTTTTACACATGCACACACGCTTTCAAACACAAACGCTTTTACACACAGACGCTTTTACACACAGACACTTGTACAGAAACGAAAACGTCCATCGCAATTTTTCCTCAGTTTTTGACGTGCAACGTCCATTTCGTGCGTAAGGGTTGCGATTGACAACTCAAAGTCGCACTTTTTCCTCAGGTTTTGACGTCCAACGTCCATTTCGTGCGTAAGGGTTGCGATTGACAACTCAAAGTCGCAATTTTTCCTCAGTTTTTGACGTCCAACGTCCATTTCGTGCGTAAGGGTTGCGATTGACAACTCAAAGTCGCAATTTTTCCTCAGTTTTTGACGTCCAACGTCCATTTCGTGCGTAAGGGTTGCGATTGACACCTCAAAGTCGTAATTTTTCTTCAGTTTTTGACGTCCAACGTCCATTTCGTGCGAAAGGGTTGCGCGCGACACCTCAAAGTCGCAATTTTTCCTCAGTTTTTGACGTCCAACGTCCATTTCGTGCGAAAGGGTTGCGCGGGACACCTCAAAGTCGCAATTTTTCCTCAGTTTTTGACGGCCAACGTCCATTTCGTGCGAAAGGGTTGCGCGCGACGGATCAAAGTCACAACTTTTCCTCAGTTTTTGACGTCCAACGTCCATTTCGTGCGAAAGGGTTGCCGGGGACGCTTCAAAATCGCAATTTTACCTAGGTTTTGGACGTCCAACGTCCATTTCGTGCGAAAGGGTTGCGTTTCGTGGCGCTCCGGCGGCACCGCCCCCCGCCTTAAGAGAGAAATAGAAGAAGAGCGAGAAGAGATCTGCAGATGTGAAGGTGTGAAGATCTAGATCTGCAGATGTGAGGGTGTGAAGATCTAGATCTGCAGGTGTGAAGGTGTGAAGATGTAGATCTGCAGATGTGAGGGTGTGAAGATCTAGATCTGCAGGTGTCAAGGTGTGAAGATCTAGATCTGCAGATGTGAGGGTGTGAAGATGTAGATCTGCAGGTGTGAGGGTGTGAAGATGTAGATCTTCAGGTGTGAAGGTGTGAAGATCTAGATCTGCAGATGTGATGTAGATCTGCAGATGTGAGGGTGTGAAGATCTAGATCTGCAGATGTGAGGGTGTGAAGATCTAGATCTGCAGGTGTCAAGGTGTGAAGATCTAGATCTGCAGATGTGAGGGTGTGAAGATGTAGATCTGCAGGTGTGAGGGTGTGAAGATGTAGATCTTCAGGTGTGAAGGTGTGAAGATCTAGATCTGCAGATGTGAAGGTGTGAAGATCTAGATCTGCAGGTGTGAGGGTGTGAAGATCTAGATCTGCAGGTGTGAGGGTGTGAAGATCTAGATCTGCAGATGTGAGGGTGTGAAGATGTAGATCTTCAGGTGTGAAGGTGTGAAGATCTAGTATAACGGCTGCTTTTTTACGAAGAACCCTTCGCAGGCGCTCTCGGGAAAAAGTCTACAAATGGTTGAATTTCCACATCGAACTGTTCGTTTACCCTCGGGTAACCCATTATACTAGTTGGTTAGTAAAGAATCCTATTATGGGTTATCAAAATCCCTTATGAACCCCTATATAAACCCCTAGAATCCAACCAAGCAAGCAAGCAACCAACCAACCAAGTGATGTCTTCATCTCGGGTCTCGCACCATGCTGGGATCCATGTTCATCATCTCCCGCAGAATTCGTTCGGAGGTCTGCCTGCCGGGTGAAACATCCAACCGCTGGGAAGGTGAGTATAAACAGTAACAAGGGGGGGTATATATACATATCGAAATATACAAATATAAATATATATATATAAATATATATATATATATATTATTATATATTGGGACCAGCGATTATTAGATTATCCTTCGAAATGGATGTATAAGACCAAATTCTAGGGGATGTATTGGAGCAGTAGGAGGAAAAAGGATAAAGCCGACCACATGATGTTGTCAATTGAATTACGCCCATCTCAAGGCACTCAGCCAAAGATTTGCTGATATCAACCATCCAACAATACCTTGACAAAGAATTTGGGGGGACGATTTGGTATGACATACATACCATCATATACCTATTGTTTGTCAAGTGTGGGGATTGCCCCTCGGTTCAAATTTTGCACTTCGATAAAGCATCCAAATTCCTGCAGGTAAGAAACCAGTCTTGACCCCTAAGCAAGGCTTTTTTAGGACTGGGATGCACCGAGACCAGCACCAAATTTGGGGTAATTGTTGGGTACACCAGCGTTTGGGATGGTTTGTAGGAACCCTCGAATGGCTGTTTTTTTGGTCTGGTTCATCACTGTCTTCTTCAAGGGTTGCGCTTTGTTGTATGGAATGGATGTAAAGCCGTAGGGCATGGATGTGTATTTGCATATCATATACCTACTGTGGATGGAAGAAATCCTGCACCAGTTGGCAACTATTGGTAACTATGAAACACTGTAAATAATGGGACAATGACAAGATAGAGCATCTACCAACTGGTGCAGGATTCATTCCATCCACAGTAGGTTGTAGATCTATAATAAAGGTGTATATATATATATATCGTTGTTATTATTACTATCATTGTTGTTGTTGCTATTCACATCATTCACGTCAAACTCACAGAATTTATTCGTTGAGTGCCCAAAAATATCGCATCCGCGCCAGCCGTGCCTCGCATTCTCATGAGGTTCCTGGCAGTTGACCATGGCTATGAATAACCAGAGACAGAAAAGAGGCTGTTCGGACCTGAAAGTCAGTAATATCAGGGAGCTTATGGAGATGTCCATGACATTTTGGCTGATGCCTTGAGAATCTGTTCCATGTCTATGTATTTATTTATTTATTTATTTATTTACTTATTATTTATCTATTTATTTATTTATATATATATTCTGGATAGACATGCGTATACTCGGGGGTTGCTACACCCAGACTTGCCAGTATAGGTTTGCCCAGAAGCTACCCCATTTCATCCCATGGTTTATCACATGTTTCCCTTCTCAATGGCCCTAACTAGGGGGCACATCCCACACATCATCTTGAAGATATCACAATATATCAAATATATACCCGTAAAATCGCCGTAAAATGCCTTGGTAACCACCATTTCTACCCCCAGTCGACAATTCTCGGGCACCTTCTTTGTGCCCGGCAGCCGCAGGGTCTCGCGTTCACGACCATCAGGGAACTGCTCCTGAACACATCATGGCTATAGATATCGAAAACAAACATGTTTTCGCATTCGATGGTAGGTCCATATGTTTCTGGAGGGGAACGATTCAATATGAGGGAGTTTGGCGTGCAACAAATGAGATCTAAGCCTTCAAGCAGATCAAGAATCGGATTGAAAAAATAAAAACAAAACAAAAGTTGATCAATAGAAATTTGGGAGTTTGGCAGTAACCGCAAAAGTGAGAAGGTACACCGGCGGTTCAACTGGTGAATGACCATGGTTTATGGACAATCTCACCAACCAAAATAGGAAGTTAACATGCGTTTTCTTGTATACGACCAGCAAAAACTAGGATTCGGTCTGAGAATTGGAATGTCACCAGCTGAAATTGGACCGTTTATCCACCAAAAATGGGTACCCTAGCTACAAATCTCTGCATTTCAGCAACACAATGCCAAGATTTCACCAACCATGTGGTCTGAAACCCAGTCGGACACTCCGACCTAGTCTTCTGGTGGTCCCATGCCGTTTCAATCACCAATAGCAATGGTGACTCGTCTTTGAGGAAACCAAGTCGCTACCCGCAGATGTTGGGCACCATTTGTCAGCCTTTACCATCCATTTTTGGTGTAATTTCCCAGAATTCAGCCCCATATTTAGAGGTCAAAACCATGATGTCCTGTAGACTGTCCCTTCAACCCATTGACCATTGACCAACCTTTTGTGTTTTATCTAATTCTTTATGGTAAGACAATGCTAAAACCCTTATTGTTGATAGGAAAACCCCCATGAAACGCCTTAGATTCGCTGGGAACCACCACGATGACCCGCACTCCACCGCTCCACTCCTTGAACTCCACCAGCAGCCGCGAGCCGTCGCTTGGGCGAAGCTTCCTGGGTTTTGGTGAGTCAGGTGTCTTATATAGAGATAGTATATATAGATATATATTATGTATATATATATATATATATTATGTATTCATATAATTTCATATACACATACAATTTGAATGAATAAAGAAATCAATCGATCTAATTACAGTATGTATCCAATAAATAAATGAGCAAATAAATCAATGAATAGGTGAATCATCATGAAGCTGAACCCCCTCCGTTTCATGTGGTAAACCCAATGCCACAAACCATCCCAAATGACTTGTCAGAAATGGGTGATGACAAACCATGAAAACTTGAACGTTTAATTGGGTTTACCACATTCATGATTTAAAGCTGCATCCATGGTTAAACCATGCCCTGAATTTTGTGGCTGAACACTGCATATGTTTTGTCATTGCATCCCCATGCAGCTGCCTTCCCATCCATTCCCACTGGCGATTTTCTGATCGCCATGTTGGCAAAATCCTGAATATCTATCTAAGCTATTTTTAAATCGGAAACAAGAACAATCACCAGTTGTTGTTGTTTGTATCAACCTCCAGTTTCTCTCGGTTCTCTACTTAAGGGTGTCTCCCAGTTTTTAAAGCAAGTGGTTCATGACCAAGAACCCCCCAGTGGATGTTTTCCTCCACTCCATCTGGACTCCATCTGGGTGCCCCGGGTGCCCCTGCAGAACCACAATGTCCACCACTCGCACCTGGTAGGTCTGTACCATTTCAATGAGGTAAGATGTACCGAAAATGGGGATATACCTTGCTGATACCTGGAAAAGTTGGATAAGATCTCCAGAAAAATCATCAAAAATCCTGAGAACGACGATTTTCGGCATTTGATCTCACCTAACAATGTGTGTAGCCACCAATGTGCATGTTGAGGATTCGGATTTCCCGGTTTCGCACAAACCAACAGCCCCCACAACCACATTGGGCAAGCGCGCCAACTTCTTATGCTGTTGCGCATCCAGCATGAGCCTCACGCAACCAGTCAGTCAACCAGAGTTTCCCTGGGTCAACCAAGACTTCGTCAGCATTTTATGGGTTGATATCACCTGCTTACTGGACCGATATGGCAGTGTGTCAAAACCTTGTACCCCTGGTGAACATCAAAATAGCTGGTAAATGGATGTTCATCCCACTAAAAATGGTATTAATAGGTATTGATCCATGCCCATATCACGTAAATTAGTGAAAACAGGGGACCGAACAAGGGAACCAACCACGGTATCCTTCGATAACCCCATTAAACAAACCAAGCACCCGACCTTTTTGGGCACTTGAGCCACGGACGTCAACCAGCGGTTAGTTATGACCCGAACCCGGTGGTTGTTGGATAAGGGACAACTAAAACCCTGGAATAAACCCTAGGCACTGAACATACCTAACGCTTCTAGGTATGTTATGATACTCAATGTACAGTATGTCGCGCAAGAGCGACATGCTAAGGAAAAACTATTTGGAGTTTGAATTGGAACTCATAGCTACGCTATTTACACTACGCTATACCTACCTGCTATGCTACATGTAGTGGGGGCTCAGGGGTCGATATATTTCAACTCCCCCCTCGCCTGATCCACGCTCTGCGCTTTTGGCAGGCACCTACGCACTAATATTGCGCAAGCGGGCGCTCGCAGCAATCTATGCGTTGGTTTATGGTTTAGCGATGCGTGTGTGACACATCCATTTCGGTCCATCATTGGTGATGGAGGTGGATATTGTGTCTTGAGAAGGTTTCTTAAGTTGGGCGGATGCCCTTGACCTAAGACCAACATTATGTTTTGGGCGCTGCCAAGGGAATGTATGTGAGCAGGAGGATGAGGTCCACACACGTGGTGGCGCGGTTTCAGCGGGTTCAGCTGTGTGATTGCCCAGCAGTCCGCACTGCGACTCATTACCTAACTCTGTGTTATCCCTACTAAGTTTATCACATGGAATGCCATTATGTTCACCTATCGACAACTTCTAGATGTCAGGGGAAGAGGCAAACTTGGATGTGGTTGGCTTAGCATTCGCACTAAGTGCGATCTTGGCAACTTTCCGATGTCTACGGTTAGCGCGACCAGTTGGTTGGTTAGACCCTGGAAGCGATTCCTGACAAGGGATTGAGGCTGATGAAACAACTTGGGATTGAATTATGGCACTTAAAACGCTGGCTATTGGGGGTGACGGGAAACCAGGATTGGGAAGCTCTAACTCCGGAACATTTTATCACTATTCCCATGAAGCCGCGGATTTCAAGGAAGAGTGAAAAGGTATTGGGCTAGAGATTTCTTCACCTACCCTCATGCGAGCATGGAGCTCAGCATCCTCGTCACTTTTGACTCTTTATGTGCTTGCGTTAAGTGGTACTTTCTTTCCCTTTTTGGTGTCGTTTCTTTTCTTCAACCGTATTACTATTTGTGAAGTGGGCGCAGCGTTGGTCGGCAGGATGCCGTGTATGGGTGTTGCAGGTAGCACACCCAGGCGTATCCTCAGTGGCGAGGACATGATCTAAGAGTGTGTTTATGGGACATCTCCTAAGATCAGGTGTTGAAGGGTCATTATTACCCCCATCTTTATGACAGAGAACGTCATCCTCAGTATTATTAGGGGATTTCAAGTCATGCGGGTTACCCCCCCTGAAGAGGGCATGACCACATAACATACCTACCGGGAAGACGAGATCGCCTTCGTGCACCAGGCGCGCTGGGTTGTGCACATTGGCTGCTACGCTTTTACTTCCATGCGATTCAACTTTTCCTGTTATTACCTCACACTTTTGGGTGCCTTTATCTAGGACAACGCTACTTGATGAGAGCTGCTCATGCTGCTGCTCTGAAGAATCATCAAAACCATTGGCCTTGCCATCATTGGAATGTGAAAACTTCATAGCGTTATCTTTAGTTATATGGCTAATGGGGTAAAACTGGCTATTTGATAAGTTTAATCGCGTATGGCTTGGATTGGTGGCTCGCTGCTTCAAGATTTTATCCTTTGGCGGCTCGCCGCTCCCCAGCTCAATTAGGAGCTGGTCATCCATTGTGTTATTGGGTACGTTGGAAACATCGACAACGACCATTTTAGATCCCGACGTGTTAGCCAAACCAACAGCGTCATCAACAGATTCAGGTGCTAGATCTGCTTCTTCATCTTTTGCGGGTGGAAAGACATTATATGTAGGGGTTGACGAAACACCATAGTCATTGGGATCATCTACTTCTACAAGTGTCTTGGGTCCTACGGATGAAGCTGGCATTGCGCTTGGTACCGGAGCAGGGCGCTCATTTGGATCAAATGAACATGGAGTCAGTTCTTCATCATATTGTGGGACGTATTCTACCACCCTAGATGCGCAGATTTTAGCGTTCCTGGGAACTTTTAGCCTGCATCTATTGACGTTTTCGGGAGCTATTAGATATGGGACGCTCTCCCGTGGATCCCAAATGAACATGTAACCTTTATCTATGACTGCTTTACCTATACTTTGTGCTGGAAGGCATTCCTCTAGAACATAGACCTCTTCACCATCAAGAATCTTACTGCCACTAAATGTCAGGGATCCTTTGCCGGATTGGCTGCCACCTCCGGTAGCAAAAGCTACGGGATTTGGAGAGTGCTGTACACTCTCCCGCATGGATGGTGTGAGGGCTTGGCGTCCAATGAGGTGTCGACCTGCTGCAGTGTCCCACAGCCAAGGGATGGCTGTGGAAGCTTCGAAAGGCATGGCAGTGATTACAGGTTTAATCGCGTCAGAGACAGCGATCTCTGGGACTATCACAGTTGCTACGCTAGCATGAACATTAGGAGGGGCTTTATTACCTTTCCTAAGTGATCTAGGAGGAGGTCCTCGATATTTATTGGTTTCAGAGTGGAGGAATGCGCACGATTCTGCCCTACATGCATTGTACGCGAAGAACATGCAAGGGGTGGTGGCCTTCTCGGCTGCCGATTTACGGGCTGCTCTCTTGGTCCTCTTCCCCTTAGGGTTCGTGCTATCCACATCAGTGGATGGAGGCTGCTTTAATCCTACGGGTCTAGCCGTTTGGGTAGGGGCTGCCTGCATATCCTCTTCGGTCTCACCCCCCCCCGAACCCTGACTTGTTGGAGATTCAGGAGTGTTCTCCGATTCTGGGTCTGGGGTTGGTGCCGAGGCACCAGCGATGTTGTCATCGGGAGGTGGATTGGTACCGAAGTACCCTGCCGCTGGTTTTAGACCTAGTTGTTCATCAAAATCTCGGCGATTGCGCTCTTGCTGTTCCAGTTGGATGGCTAGTTCAACTTTAGACCATAACCAATCGGTTGTGCGGCGATGGCTATCTAGTCGGGCTTCCCTAGCTTTAACGACCTTCGGGGCCATTACATCATGGTCCTCAAGCTCGTCGATAAGATGGTTAAACAACGTTTGCGGTCGCGGCAAATCCTCTATGGGAATTGTTGACATTACGTAGATATAGGTGTCTCTAAAGGTAACTAAATCGGCTATAGTGTTACCGGGGACCTTAAGGGACAACAAATTCCTTTCGCCAAGCATGCCAAGGCGGCCACGCTCTAGCTGGAAATGTTTAAATATTCTACGTAACATCGCGCGCCCGCAGGGCATAGCCCCACTAGCAGCGCGCTCAGATTCTAACATCTGATTGAAGAGGAGTCCAAACTTTCCGCCTTTGCAAGTTCCTAAGAGCTTGGATGCTACTTCGCGGTCAGTGCGAGGGTAGCGAGGGTCAGCTTGGAGTTCTTCCTCTGTTAGGGTTAGGCACTCCTGGGCCCACAATGTAACCTCGAGCTTCACCTGCATTAACAGGAGGGTGGGGAAAAACCAGGTCAGTCAGGGACGTGATCATAACGGTCATGGCTTCCCGTCTCGCGAAATTTACAGGTGATATGGAGGAATTGTCGGATGATGACCCTGAGCTCGAAGAGTCAACCGACCTACGTGAACTTTTGTGGTGATAATATGATGGCATTGAGTGTTGGGCACCTCGTCGGACAAGGTGCAATGGCAATGGTGGCACAACCGGAGGAAGCACCTGCTGCGGGAATAACTCACTTCCTGTGGCTCGACGAGTCGAATTACCACATGGTGTACCCGCATGGCTCGCATGACTAAGACCTATCCCTAGTGGCGTGCCAGAGGCAGCGCCCTGTGCAAATGATGCTGGGGGCGCACCGGCTGATGCTACTACTTGGTGTGCTTTTGCCAGAGTTGGGCTCGAACCACTTACAGCATGTGCGCGAGGCACAACAGCGTTTGATGCTGTAGGCAAGTTAGCTGAAAGACTAGGTCTTACTGAAGCCACTTCCTGAGGCTGTGGGCTCGCCCAAATTTGTTGTTGTTGTTGCATCTGTTGAAGCTGCTGCTGTTGCAACTGTAATGCATTTGACAATCTTAACACCTCAGCTTGGAGTTGTTGAACCAAAACTGACTCTGATGTGTTCGAGCCACTTACAGCTGTTGCACTAGGCACCATAACATTTAGTGTTATGGGCAAGCTAGACACTGTGACTAACTCTGCGAGCTGTTGGTTTGCCACTACAGGGGCGGGTGAGATACCCGAGTGATGTAAAGACTGGGGCAAGGATGCTACGGCATTTTGTGCGGCTACATTAGACGATTGAGAGTGGTTCTCTCCTGGTTGCGCAGGAAAGCCACCACCAGGGACTTTGGGGTTAACCCTACCGGTCACCTCTACGACAGTTGGGACAGCAACCATTTGCAAAGTGCCTGATGTATTTTGTAAATTAGATTGGCTTTCTCCTAATTGTGTAGGAGGGCCAGTGATGGAATCCGGGGAGACTAGTGCAACACGGTGTCGCTGCTGGGTTGCAGCCAGCTGACGTTCATTGGGGAACATCCTAGAATCCTTTACGGTTATTCCAAAATCCCTACCAGAGACATTGGGGGCAACCCGACCAGTCGCCTCTACGACAGTTGGGACATCAACCACCTGCAAAGTGTCTGATATTTGAGGATTATTTGGGGACAACAATGGACTAGC